TCATTACCAATAAAGAATAAACGTTTTTGACTTTTTGAGACTGTACGACGGAGATGTTTGCTCAGTGACAGAAAGACGGAGACTGCGCCAAAAAAACGAGGGTTTTCCCATTCACGACCAGGCCATGCCGTCGTCGCGCCGTAGATATTTGGAGTGGCGCGATGGAGTTTGGACCGGTCGAATATTCGGCACAGCCGGGCACGCCAGTTCAGTTTTGCCATTGACGTGGTTTTTGGAACGGCGTCGCTCCGTTTGGACTGCTTGGAGCGATCGTGAATGGCCACCTTTAGAAGAACAGGGGCATATTTAGCCGAAGGTCGTGGTTCGAATCCCGCTCGTGACACTAGCTTTTTCGTCTCAACCAATACCTTAAATAAAAAGATTAAGTGGACCTTTTGCGTTAATGTGCCTCCACCCCTCTCGAACGAGCTCGATGGCACAGAGTGAGACAAAGGTCAGGTCACTGGGCTTCCGCTCTTATCCTATCTTATCTTATGTTTTTAGTCAAGGTGTATTGTTTTATACAAATGTATTGTATATATTGTAATTGTATGCATTGGGTACTGTGTTGTATACAAGTTGTCAAATAAAAATGTTGGGTACAAGGTGTTAAATAAAAATTTTACTTTCTTGTCAAAACCAAGGAAACGGTAGTTCGTTTCCTTCAGAAAAAGGTCATTCTTCCACCAGCTGTGCGATGGTCAGGAGGGCAAGACGCGAGGGTGCATTTGACAGGATCTCGTGACAAGTGGAGGTGCTACAAGAGTGGATGCAAGGCTCTAACTGGCTCAATACTGCCATATTCGATCATCGTGCTGTTCATATATGCTTGGGCATACGAAATGGTAAGCGTTAAATTTGGTGAGAGTTAAGTATAAATCGTAACATGTTTGTTTATTGGTACAACTACATGCACGAAGTCTGTGCGAACTCTTATTTTGTGCAGACATTCGCGCATTGGCGGCCCAACTGCATTATGGAAATTAATGAATCGCTGTTTTCTCGCCGGAAAAACAAAACCGGCCGAATCTTACCACAGCAGTGGGTTTTTGGTGGCGTTTGACGCGAAACGAGAGAAAGTTTTCTAGTCGCCGTTACAGACAGATCAGCCGTCACTCTCAACCCCATAATTCGTGATCTGATCCCTACTGGATCTGTCATCATCTCTGATCAGTGGAAGGCATATGAAACATTGTCCCAGGATCCTAATTTCCGCCATATGACAGTGAACCACTCTCAATTTTGTCGACCCGACCACCCGTGCACATATGCAGTTCATTGATAGTGTATGGGGAAAGACAAAAGCGAAGAACAAATGGCAGTGGGGTACCTGCCGAAGTTTATTGGACTCCTATCTATGCGAATTTATGTGGCGGTAATCATGTACGGCAAGAAATGTGGATATTATCGAAGACGTCCTTAGTGACATAATTAAATTTTGGCCCCCAGGGACTCAAATGTGACTTCCTTTAATACCAATTTATACTCTTCATTATAATTACACGAATTCCCTAAAATAGGATGTTATTTATGATTTCCTTTAAAGGAACATTTCCTTAAGTGATTGGAGAGAGATCTTAGCGGTCGAGTGAGGCGGAGGCACATTAACAGAAAAGGTCCAATAATTAATTGAAATAAATATATAATATTTCATCTATATAGGAACAATTGAGGAAATGGATTTTTAAAAAATCACAATTTTCTCTACGTTGGTGTAGGAAAAAGAGCGTTGACTTTCACCGGGCTTGTAGGCAGTTTATTATCTACTGGGATAATTCGAACAATGAAAAACTGCACAAAAAAGGAAAGACTTGTGGGAAAAGTCGTGGCTCAGTTTAACCCACTCCTTTTAACACAAGATACCACCTGGAACTTTCAAATTAATTCTCGAATAAATTAAGATGCATGTATTGCTGATTAAAGAAATAAATTGTTGGAAATATTCGTGACAAATTTGTGGACATGGACTTTTTTTTTTTTATATTGTTTATGTTTCTGTTGTCAAGAAAAAAAGCAGAAGATACCACGTCTTTTATCAATTATTACGCATTAAAATCAGATTTAAAATATAAAATAGTCAAATTTTTGAAAATTTTGTATTTATAAATAAAATAACATTAAACTATTTTATACTATTTATTTTAATCGGAATTATATTTTATTTAACACGTTTGAATCTAGTTTTTTTTATCTTCATTTCTATGGAATATTTTTTTTTAGCTTTATTTCTCGTCTTGAAATCCAGCTAACACGGATCATATAAAGCATAATCTGCCGCCATTCAAGTAAATTATTTGGAAGCAATAATTTCTACTTTTTCCAAAATGTATAAATTGATTTATTTTCGATTTGACAAACTGCGCCACTTCGCAGGGAAAATATCCTCGTTAAGTTACACATACGATTGTCGTTTTACTTCTGAGTTTAACACAGTTTAATTTGTGCTGTGGCTATTTGTAAACTGTAATACTAGTACTACGCATCATCTCAAACACGTTATTCATGTGTAAATATGTTCCAAAATATATTAGACGATAATTAACACTTGTCATTATTAAAACAAATTCCGTGGGTCAATTTTACCCACACAGCCTTTAAAAGTTTATTTACGAAGTACAAAATATAACAGTGCATGTCAATTAACGACACTAACCAGTGCACTACTGAAATTTTATTGTATAGCACAACTACGACGATTCGATTTACACGCACAAATATATATATTTTTTGTTTGTTTAGGATTGTCATCGTTTCACCCAAACGGTGATAACTTCTTAACAAAAAACCGTGAAATAATTAAGAGTAAAACAATACAAGACAAAATTAAATCGGTTATAACAAATACAAAATAAATGGGGTCAAAGCGATCGGAGTGTAATGTACATATATTGAACCAAGCGCCCTTGGCAACGATCATAGCCAATTGTTTACAAATAAAGCAAGAAGCACATCGGTTATTTCGTCGGGACAATTTGAAAACTGTTAAAACTTAGTTTAGTCTACGACTAAAGAACAAACTAAAACATAAGCGTGGAGAATTGAGTTGGTAGACGAGAAATAACTTACTTGATGACCATGTTGGAAAACTGCTCCGTTATGTTTGAAATATTGACGTCTTCCTTAGAATCGTTACTAAGGGCTCAATTCACAGAGCCAGCAAATCCATTATCCTAAGTTTTGAAACTATTTTCAAGCACAAAATCACAACACGGCGGTGGAACTTATTTTTCTGTCGAACAAAGCTACGAACGATGCGGACGAACACGACGAAGACGGATACGGCGTTTCGTGCTGACCAATGGGACCGAAGCAGGTGAAGTAGGGTGGGGAGCCCACTTACGAAGTCGAAGAGCAGGAAGCGACGAAAGCGTTCCAATCGGCAACCGTACGCACACCTTGCGCTACCTATCCACCCGCTTCGGCACCAGACCCCATTCTTCTTTCAAAATTGCTCCATTCTGTATTTTCAGTATTAAAACTATCGCACAGGGGTCTATTATTCTTTTTCCTATTAATTAAAGTGAATTTTCGCAAGTATTTAGTTTACTTTATAAAAAGCTACGTAAAGAAATAGAAAATTACATGTAGTGCCTGGTAATGCTGCATCAAGATCAGCTGGGGTACCCCAGGGATCCATTCTGAGAGCGATTTTATTTAGCATATCAATTATTTAACTAAAACGAAAACTAAATGTAGTTATGCATTTACGCAGATGATACAGCATTCTTTGGCCTCTTTCAGATGAGGCAGTTTGTTGATTCAACTATGTTACCCGGCTGACTTTCAATTAGTTTACTGCTGAATCCTTTTTTTAAAAAGATGGTTCCTACTCACATTAAGTTGTTTCACCACTATAACCTTTAAGTTGTTGCGAAACAACTTAATGTGAGTAGGAGCCATCTTTAAAAAAAAAAGGATTGAACTCCACTCACTCCATCATTCATAATTTCTATTAGTTTACTGCTGTGTGAAGACTCATTTCACACCAGGCAATTTGTGGCAACCGCTCTTCCCAACAGGACGCCAGTACGATGTTAGAACCCGTGGAAGCAGGAGCACTTCTTGTGCTTTTCTTCTGCGAAAAAGGAGGAAACCCAGTAAACAAAAGTGTGGTTTTGTCTATTGTTATAAAATTGGGAAACGGGTGCTTTCTCTCAAATACTGTTGTGCTACTTCCCTCCAAGCTTCGCTTCTTTTAATTTTATCACTACACTCCTCACACTTCTCCCATATCACGGGACTAATATGAATATCTTCAATGAACTGATCAAGTTGAAACACTTTCCATTTGACTTAACTAGGCGAGTGGTGTGAAGGATGACTCTATTGAGATGAGTCAGCCAGTGGGGATGAGAACGTGAGCAGTACTTGTGCCTGCTGGCCATCCGCCTGGGCAGATGAGTTGACTGCCTGTGAAATGGTTGGTCCTAAACATTTTGCTACCATGTTACACTCATTATCACAGGCTTCAAATTTCTGGGGCCACCTGCACACTGTCAGGGAGAGCAACATCTTCATCAAATTGCCGAACCAAATGGGTTGTTACGGTGGTAGAAAACTTACATTTGCAATAATGGCATAATATTACCAAAATTTAGAATTTTACCATCATGTTGTTTAGCCAAACTCTAAGGCAAAAGTGAAGGCAAGACAAGATCATTTTTTTTACACATTCATTTAGTAGTCTACAGATTAAAGTGGTATCAAATCCAATTGGAACATTGAAACAAATAAAGCCTATAGAGTATTACAATTTCCAAGGAAATGAATTCGGTAATTTTTTATGACTTATTTCTATCAATTCCTATCAATGTCTCTATTTTTATACATCAATATTTTATATATCAATTTCTATATTTCTAATCATTTTCTCTTATCTTTTTTTTAACGATGAAGTGATTACTTTGAATGTTATATAAATGCTTATCTCACAAGTATTAAAGGGAGTACTGATAACTACTATCAAAATCAATAATCATTGAACACCGAGGACAAAAAAATTTATTTTGATCCCCATACTATTCTTTTATTCAAATTTAATAATTTTTTTATATAAAATTCTTATATCACTTGTCAAATATAAATCCTTTCATTGCACTATTTTTTTGCTTTTCCTTGGTTAGCAACAGCTTCCATAGCTTTTTTCACTGTCTCTTCATCGCCTAGAAACCTGAGAGAGACGACAGGTTTCATATCTTTGTCTAGTTGGTACTCAAAAGGTATGCCAGTCGGTAAGTTCAGTTCCATTATATCTTTGTCGCTAATACCTGATGAAAAACACATTTTAAAAAAATCTTCTAGTTAGATATAGATAGAAATTGTACTTACAATCTAAATGTTTGATAATGCCTCTCAGGCTATTGCCATGTGCAACTACCAAAACAGTTTTGTTGTTTTTCAGATCCGGGACAATGTTGTTATACCAGTAAGGAAGTGTACGTTCAATTGTCATTTTTAAAGACTCGAACATGGGGAATTCATCTTTGGATGGCTCTTTCGAATACCTCGGATCACCAACAATTGAATTGTAGTATTGATGATTTTCATCCATAGGTGGTGGTGGAGTATCAAAGCTCCTACGCCAAATTTGTACCTTTTTCAAAACAGAGAATTCCCAATGAATTAATGTTCAATTGAAAGGCAGCAAACAGTTTTTCATTGTGTTTGTTTACGTCTGATAGTGACTAACTGCTAAAATCCTTTGATACTACCTATTGGTTTGATACATAACAAAACATTTGAATCTACAAAAGAGTTAGCCAAATCCATTTAACAATTGTGCAAATGCTTTAGTAGTAGTCTGGTGTCTCAAAACATTCAATGGTCTGACGGAAGAATATACATATTTATGTATTGTTTTAATTTTTATCAAGAGTGGAAGTCGATTCGGTATTGAATAACTCACAGCCCACGCATAAATAATACATCGTTCTTGTCACTGACAATCCTAACAGACAGTTTTTTGTTTTTTTTACAAGATGGATGAACAATAACTGGAATTAGAAGTATTGACCACTTTTTCACTTACAGTGGAAACCCATTTATCCAAACCCGTATGTTAAAATATTTTTTATAATTTTTTCATAATTCTCAATGTATGTATATTAATTTTTTTATTATTTTCATATATTCAAATGTGGGACTTTTAATTCGTCATTTGAAATTTGTAAAGGCCGTCAAATCAATCTCTATCCACATGATTGAAGAAGCCGGAGAGGCCTCGTCACGTTTTTGTTAAAATAAAATAAAAAATAAAAAAATGTATCCTATTTTAAAAGATTAGAAATTGCTGTGTCGTATTGTTTGTATGTTGGCTTCCATCAAAAAGGCTGTTTTTTTTATTACATATAGTTTTATTAGCTATTTTTATGTATAAATTTTTTGCAAGACAAGTGTCTGAACTTAGTTAATATAAGACTAGTACTTCAACTGTAATTTGATATATAAATACTAGTGTACACTTTCGTGTTTTGTTTTTTTCATTTTTATGACACGATCCTAATAAATCACAAATTTTCGGATCATCCGGACAAGTCCTGGACCCTTCAAGTCCGAGATAAACGGATTTCTACTGTACAACACTCTGGATCAAAGAATGATTCTCAAAGAAGAAAGCAAATTTAGTTGCTACTGCCTAGCTTTCGACCATTTTTTTAAGGTTATCATCAGGGCAAAACCACCTTAAATATGTCTACAGAGTTAGAGTTGTTAGAATCTAACAAGAGTTCTTTAAGTTTTTACAGGCAATCTCAAATGTCCTTGAAGACCGACTCAGTCACAACATTGCTGAGGACTGTGACACTAGTTGACAAACAAAACAGTCCTCAGGAATGAAGATGATCTAGGACAGACGTGGACCAATTTATTGTGGAAGTTCAGAACAGGCCCTGTCTGTGGAATTTTGAAGACTTTCTTCAAATGAAGCTATACTCGTCCCATAGTATTGGAAGAACTTGACAGGATAGCATTAAGTGCTGCCCATACAGATAGAACTGACCAAGTGCTACCCTTTTCATCTTCAATGGATGAATCCAATCTTCTCTTTTTCTCTTCTGTTTTAACATTGCCTTGTAAATAAACAAAACGAAAAGTGGTTTCATTGTACTGTACACGATCAACTCTGTCATATTATCAACTGCATATCCAAACAGTTGTAATCATTCCATTCATTTCCGCTGTACATGTAGCCTGTTCGAGTTGGGCGAATTTTTTATTGCGAAACTTTCATCGCTTTCCATCTAGTGTGGCGCCGACCTTAATGTTGGTTTGCCCTGATGATGACATTAAGGTAGGAGGAAAGCTTGTCAGTAGCAACTAAATTTGCATTCTTCATCAAGATCATACCTTGATCAACATTGTTCATAACAGATATTTAAGCGAGATACCTGGGCATCGCCGTACTTTGCTGCCGTTTCCGCTTTGTTTAGGCCGGTGAGGCCGCCGTAGTGGCGTTCGTTCAGTCGCCAAGTCTCGTAGGTAGGGAGGTCCTTCTGGTCGATTCCTTGGAGGATGATGTCCAAAGTCCGTTTCGCCCTCGTCAAGACAGATGTGTGCGCCACATCGAACTGGAAGCTGCTGGATGCCAGAGCCAATCCGGCCTGCTGTGCTTCCTTCACACCTGCCAAGACAAACTGTAAAAACTCCAGCATTTATACGTTCGACAGATGGAAATCACCTTTTGAACTGAGATTTGTGTCGTACCATCCGGAAAATAGATTTTTCTCGTTCCACTCGCTCTCCCCATGCCTTACCATAACAATCCTGTGTTTTCCAAGCATTGCACCTGACAAAAAACAAACCGTCAGCGGTAAACAGTACAATCTCGACTGACGTCTGAACTCCGAAAGTCTGAATTCTGAAGTTCTGACACTTCTGACAACGAACGATTATATAACCGATAGCGAGATATTTTAATTTTTGGTAGTAGCCAGTAGGGGTAGCTCGTTTTGTGGAATGAGCCAAGCGAGAAATTCCTAAACTATAGATAATAGAAGTCAACTCTACTACGTACCGTTTAAGCAATTTACTAATGAAAATTCTTTTCTTTGAACGAATCTTAACCTATAATAGAGAATAATTTTCATAGTAATTAAAAAAATACAAAAATAACTTTGTTGATTACTTTTATTACCCCACTATCATAAATAAACCAACTGAATCTAGACGATTCATGATACCTTTAGATCGTAAGCTTAAAAAAATTATTTACCTATTATATTCCTTTATAATATAAGTACTTCTTCTAAAAAGCATTACACATAAATACAACGAAATTTCAATAAGTCGTGGAAGGCGAACAATCCGAGCCAGAGGTTTTATCTCTGTTATACTTGAATCTTTAAAAGTCTGTTTTCTTCTTCCCTCGTATCATGTCTGTTTTCTTGGTTTGTTTTGTTTTAATGTGATATTTAATAGATAAACGAATTTTTTTTAAAAAAATCGATTATCAATTTTACAATATTCTACTCATAAAAACAGTAAACTTTTTTGGAAATACTTTAATCTTTTGTAATGTGTATGGTACCTTAAAATTTTAAATGGATTTAACAAGTATAAGGTACAATCTGAATTGCAGTTGGGAAGTGCCTGATAAATGTCAATTAAAGGATGTAATAACTTTCGGCGACGCTGACGATCCGTTAGAAAGGTTTTGTTTTCATTATTTTCCTCTAAATAGAATCTTTGGTTGATACTCACTCAATTTTCAGAAGCCGATACGAAGATGAGATTGAACACACAATAAACGAGGAACAGTTTTTGAAATTGAGCAAATCGGATGGGAACGAGAACTGTATGTTGTCTATTACTTTAGAAGATCCTTGTCTAAAAATAGTCAAATTATCAATTGTCTGCGAGGTAAATTAATTAACCCCAAATTTTGTTGTCAATGGTTTTAATCCATTTTATTTTTTAAAGGCACGCATGGTAGAATTGTATGGCAAATTTGGTGAATATGTTGGTACAGAAATTTGCACACTGCTGGATTCCTCTTTGAACATAAGTTTTTATAATGTTCAACCGAATATCTACCCCTCAAAAGAAGTATCCATCAAAGTTGGTACAAACTTGATTATACGATTAAGATTTTGTTTTGAATGTATTAATTTTTGTTTAAGTTTTTGGGCATAAAAAATTCAGTATGGATTTACGGTGTCAAGCTCCTGTTGAGGTATGAACAACCTACACAACCTTCTTTTTTTGATTTTAACAACGTTGAGGAGATTCTTAAATGTTCGAAAATACCAATTTCTGATAAGGCCGAACGGGCGAAAAGGTTTCTTCAACATTTCACTAACGGTCTTACCAATCGTACAAAGATCGATCACCAAGTTTTAATAAAGATGTTGGAGGACAATTACTTAAACCAATTCACGACTGTTGGTGAAATGGGCAAGAATATGACTAAATATTTTTCAAACTTGATGCCGGGATCAACTGATGATAACGGAGATAATAACAAAAGTCTTAATGAGTTGAAACTCTATGTTGACAAAAGCATTCAGCAGTTGGAAGAGAGAGTGTATCAGACAATAAACCAGCAGTTTAAAGATTTTGAAACAAAACAAAATAAAAAGTTAGATACCATTATACAACTTTTACAAAAAAGTTGATAAATTATAATCTTCATCAACAAATTTGACCAAATAATGTGTAAATAAAACATACACAAATTATTACAACACATATTTCAAATATGTTCATGTTCCATATTACTGTAATATCTTTGGTTATAATTTAGTATGACTGTAAATAAATTCTATAAAAACAGCTTTGGCTGAGGGCATAAGTGATTTGTATTCTGTGTTAAATTGTTTCTACATGAGTTTGAATTATTCCTGCTTGTCAGATTAATGTAATTGTCTAAGTACATCTTAAAAGTGTTGATTTCTTCTAATAACAATAACATATTAATAACACACTTGGCATTATTTATAAATAAACTACAGGAAAGCTTTAATTAAAACAACTAACTAGAGGTTAAGCAGGTCATTGGTGGCCTCAACAGTTTAGGCATTGTCACAGTGCTTGTAACATACTTGCAAACGGGCATTTTTTCAAAAACACCGGCACCCTGAGGTTTTATTCAACCTTGTAAAAAGAAAAAAAGGGTTAAATCTTGAATAAATTAGATTGTTTTTTGTGTGATTTGCGTCACATTCTGTGGTTGTCAAAATTCTGAAATAAGTCTGACCAGTCAAGGAGATCAAACCAGCAGCTTCATTTCACAGATATCAACACAATTTCAAGATTAGTTTGAGAACAAACAATAAATAAATTTTTTATTTACTTATTTTTTAATAAATTAGAATTTTTGCCTTGTACAAGTATAATTTTCCTGGGTGCTTAGATATAACTACAAAATGTAAACTAATCTCTAAACTGTATTTTAAATTGTAAGTAATTAAATTTAGTCTATTTAAAGAAATTTGTCATGTGTGAGAACTTTCAGAATGATGCTCAATTTAAGTTTAATAAATCTTATGTCCTACATTTTTCATATTACACATACTAAATCTATTAGTGGTCCATTGACTAAATTACTTCTTTCAATCTGTTTATATAAGGTTTTGGTTGAAATGAAAAATTAGTGTCACAAGCGGGGTTCGAGCCCACGACCTTCAGCTAAATATGAGCAGCACTTGAGCTATCGTGACTTCGATTATACATATTAGTAATATTTATATTATTGTATTTTTCTCATGTATCTGTTCTGTTGCATAACTATATGTCGATATTACATTATCACAAACAATTATAAACAGAAAGTAAAAACATTTACTGTGATATTTGTGTGGATCCCCTTCGCATCCAGCAACTCGTGTCTCTTACTAGTGTGAAAAAATATCTGGGCCAGAACTCAAACATATTAATTGAAGAAAACAAAAATCGGGACCTGACCCAAATAAATTAAAACAATAACCATTTTAAAATAATTGTATTAAAATTAAGAAAATAAAATTAAATAAAGTGATAAGTAGCTCCTTGCCATTTACAATATTAAAAAAAAAACGAGGTACCTTCAACAACTTCAATAAGAGATCCTTCCTCATCCTTTCGAGTGTCAGCTTGCTCTCCCGAGCCTGCAATGGGGAATAGCTTATTCTAACCCAAAGGATAATCCTTGTTGTCATACATTGTAATAAAAATTACTAATGAGGAAGCAGTAGAAGAGGAAAAAATATAAGGATAGAAAAATAAAGAATGTTACTAGCTTGTCACATATCTGAGGATGAGGTGAAGAAAGTAGAAACTTCAAAACATGTAATTAATTTTTAAAAAAGATGTATACCAAATTTTTTTTTTTTTAAATCTCCCAGTACTCCACTGGATACAATACAGGTAAGAAGAAAACCAATTAAATTAACCATCAGAAACAACTGTTAGTAAAAGAAAAAGGAGGGAAAACTCATAAGGTGGGGTTGAGATAGGAAGTTGATGTCCGAGTGGATCGAGGTCACGATAGCTCAAGTGGGAGAGCAGCGGCGTATCTAGCCGAAGATTGTGGGTTCAAATCCCACTCGTGCCACTATTTTTTTTTTTTTTCATCTCAACTAAAAACCTTAATTAATTGTAAAAGAAAATGTCGACTTTTTGGCCTGACTTCTTTCTTAACTTTTAATTTTTTTAGACCTACAAAAACTATACAACCAGGAATAAATTATTAAATTATTAGTAAAATGAAATGCCAATGAAACTATAATTTGAACAACGCTTTACTGTTTTCATTCATTAAAAAATCCCATTATATAAATATACTTATTTTTAAGAAATTAAAGCTTAAAAAATATGTTTGTAAATCCCAGGCCCTGAAGATGATGTAATTAAAGATTGAAACGATAACAATAAAGAAAATTTTTTCTATGACTACATCACACAAGACAGCATCTCAGGAACTACAAATAATCATTAATTAATGGTCACTAAATACTACACATTAAAAAATAATTATATAATTAATTACTTAATTTTCTTATTAAACAGGGCGTATTATCTGAATAATTTAATGTCTAATGTGAAAATGTCCCATTGGTAGACTTTGAAAAATGGAGGAAAGAGACGATTGTAGTCTGGCAAAGGGTGCAGGCAGCTGACAGGTTACAGTTGGAAATATGGTAAACATGAAGTTGTTATAAGATGGAAACGCGACTCAATAAAGGAGGCAATACAAACTACTTTTTTTTGTATATAGTTGATTTTCTTTACATGTGTACTGTAACTGCAGGTCGTTCTCCTTTTTATTCAGTATAATGACCACTACTGTTAAACTTTTCAAGTGTGACGAGTGCCCGTACGAAACGGCAAGACCGAGCGATCTGAAATGCCATTTGAGAACGCATACCGGCTTGAAACCGTATGCTTGCATTATGTGTGACTACAGATGTTCAAAATCAGGAAATCTAACGAGTCACATGAAGGTACACACTGGAGAAAAGCCATTTAAGTGTCCCCATTGTGAGTACAGCTGCGGTCGTTCTGGTGACTTAAACAGTCATATTCGTATCCATTCGAAAGAAAAGCCCTACTCCTGCAGTTTCTGCAATTACACCTCTGCCTACGCGGGGAACCTTAAGACCCACATGAGATGTCACACTGGTGCCAGGCCGTACAAATGTAGCATGTGTGATTATTCGTGCTCAGGCAGGGGTGATCTCAAACGGCACGAAATGACTCATACCGGTGAGAAACCGTTTGCCTGTGATGAATGCGATTATTCTTGTTCGAGGTTCAGCGCGTTAAGGGTCCACAAACTCATTCATACAAAAGAAAAAACTTACAAATGTACAGAGTGTAGTTATTCTTCTGCGAGGATAGCCAATCTTAAGAGGCATGTAATGACTCATACTGGAGAAAAACCGTACGATTGTGAATTGTGTGACTATGCTTGTGCAACAGTGTCAGATTTGAAAAGTCATATGGTGATACACACAGGAGAGAAACCTTATAAGTGCACTGAATGCAGTTATACAGCCAGTAGGCCGGCCAATTTACGCAGGCATGTTTGGATTCATACTGGTGAAACGCCTTTGAAATGCACATTCTGTGATTTCTCTACACGTGATTTAAGATCACTTAAAAAACATAAATTAATTCATAACTGTGAAAATGATGTACACATATCATCTGCTTAGTTTTTAATATAACACTGTGTATAGTGATACCGTTAAATCAAATTGTTAAAACCAAAAGCATATTTTATTTGAACATTTATTATTTTTATTCCTTATAGCTTTTCAAGTTTTTTGTAAAATTATACAGGAAGTTAATTTTTAGATATTTATTCGGTAATGTACTGTTTATAAAAACCTATCAGTCTTTAAATAATGTTTGTAATAAGGTATTACTTTTTTTTTTTTTTTACTCATAATTGGATTAGGCATTGTTTTGCTAAATCTATTTACAATTTTTTAATAATTTTTATACAATTTTAAATGGAGATTTTAGGTTCACTAATATTCTGAGCTCTTTGTAACAATGGAAAATGGTAAACTTTTTTTTATCTCAATCCATTTATTCAGAATATATTTCTGCGGACAGGTTCACATATTTCTTGTAAACTTGCACATACACACGCATTCACTAGCCTCGATTCCTGAGCCGTTGTACGACATTAAAATTATCTTTTGTTTGTATGCTTGTTGCATTATTAAATTGTAATTTTATATGTATCTTTTATATAATTTTTTAAAAAGAAACAATTTCATTAATTTGGGACATTGATTATACCGGATAAAAACAAAGCAATTACTTATATTTTTTACGATTCAAGAATAAGGCTTCCTACAAGACAATCCACTTTTGCTGTATATGTAAAAAAAAAATCATGAAAATTATTTATTGCTTCATTGTATTTACAAAACATATATCTATAAGATCTTATTTTATGGCATGCCATTTTAGAAAATATAATTGAAAAAACCTATTCTGAAAACTTTTCCTCTTTCATTTAAGAAGCAACTAGCAGAGGGTTATGAGAAATCTGATATAATTAAAAAATAAATTATACCTTTCATAAAGTCATATTACATTATAAGAAATATATGCTTAGATTGAATACTAAATATACTAGTTTTACAAGGAACATTTAGGATATATTCATAAAATGTTGTATATTGTTGTTTTCTTTGTGTACAGGAAAAGAGAAATATAGTAAAACGATAAATAATAAATTTAATTTAGAATACAAAACACAAGTACAACTACATACTACATACTTGTATAAAAACAAAAAAACAGTATGTAATATGTTTATAATACACTTTTGCTCTCATGCCTCTAAATTTTCGGAAAATACTGCTTTATGAAGAATTGAATAACTAAAAAAGTACAAGTAATGTTTAATTATTACAAAAGTTACAATATATTAAAATATCCGTATTTGTTTCCACAAAATAAAAATACCAAATGAGATATACAAACTTATATTTCTGAAAATTCATGAATCCAAAAGGTCATAATTAAGAGCATAACTACACTAAATAAATACATTTTAAAATGAAGAGGCTAAAAAAAAAATTAAACTGCAAAATAATGGAAATAAAATTAATCGGCCAATGGGGTGCAACCCTGATTAGCAAAATCAACTTCCACTACCTCTTCCTTATTTTCTGGAATCAACTTCTTCATGGCCCTGGAATTCCTTTGCCGTTTCCATTCTTGGACAGGAGTAGAAGGAAGTGAACCTTCCGTTGATGAATAGTCAGAAAAGTCACTTATCTCCAAACTGAAATATTGCGCAAGTTAATTTCTTACATTTAACTGTATAAATCAAAAGGATCCTACCAATCGGGATTGCCCCCTCCTTCAGATGGAGGATCCCAAAAATGCAATCGTTGCCTCCAAACTTTTACCAGACCATCCCAGGCCCTTCGGCTGAATTTTAAATGGATTGGTGGCGTCTTGGGGTGGATTTTTGTTCTTGCATCCCTGGGGAGAAAAACAAATTATATTTAGTCCTGCAATTTAATTTTACATAAAAAATGTAAACAATCAGAATTACTTAGGAGGTATGAAATTGTTACCTCGGTACAAGTTGAGTGTATCTGTCATAACCTATAGTATTCTTCCCATAATCAATTTGTTTTTGTCTCCTAGCAATAACTTCAGGATCAGTTTCAGCTTCCCTCTTTTTTTTATCACTGAAAATGCATTCATGACTAGCTAGTTACTACATACACAAATACATAAGAACAAAGGGGATGGTCACAACGGTTAAGGTATACTGTAAGGTAAAGGTTCACATAAAGGAGCTGCGCTAGATTCTATAAAATAATTTGAAAAGCCCACCTGTTTGGTGTTCCTCCCAAATCTCGAAGTCGTTTTCTCCCTTTATCCCTTTTTGTAGATGAAGGTGTTGATCTTGGAATTTTACTCGGGCTCGGCATTAACATGTCATCATTGCCTTCAGATTTATTATCAAAGATCGGAAATTTTCTTTTATTCGACTCGCCGTTCGTAGGAGTCCGCTTCACCCTCGGACTGACTCTGTTCTTCAGGCATTCAGTCTTGTCTACTTTACAGGGACTAACCAAGTTGAATTTGTCTAAATGACCAGTGAGACTTAAGTCATCCTGTAGAAAATCTTGTCTTTCGTTTTTCACAGAGACTTTCTCAGGTGTTGCTTGTAGGTGTTTTCCAAAGTTGGGTAGTTGATCCGACTTCAGGACTTCAGTGTTGTTAATGTCAATCACTCCATGTTTAGACGACTCTTCGATAACTTTTTCAGATAAAATTTTCAAACTGTGTCTAGTTACACGCGTCTCCTTCGTGATCGTGTTGTCTTTAATTTTAACTTTCAGTTCATCACTTTTGGTTTCTTCAACAATGTCTACCCAACTTTTATTACACACACTAATATCCCAAAGTGAATCATCCTCCTTTTGGTCAATTTTAGTTGTTGCCATTTTAAAATCTGAACATAAATATAAAACATTTAAAATGATTTTGTTACATGTCTACCAAACACGATTCTCAATTGTTTCAATTAATTGTTCTTTTTATGTAAGGTCTTGGTTGAGATTAAAATGTTAGTGTCACAAGAGGGATTAGAACTAATTAATTGAAATAAGTAATTTGGTCAATTAGACCACTAACATGAATGGATTAATATTTAATAAGCAAAGTATTACTTCACTAACATCCCCCCATAGCCACCTCAAAGTCAACTTAGAATCGAATCCTGATTTCATGACATTTGAAAAATGGCAAAAAGAGAGAAAGCTGGTGGAGGGAAAAAAGGAAGATGGGGAGTTGGTGACTGAGTGAATCGAAGTCACGATAGCTCAATTAATTAGAGCAGTGGAGTATTGAGCCAAAGGTCATGGGTTTGAATCCCATTCATAACACTAACTTTTTCGTCTCAACCAAGACCTTACGTAAAAAGAATAATTAATTGAAATAAATAATTTAGTCAATTAGACCACTATACATAAATGGAAAATAATATTCTCAATTGTGTGGTGTGTAATGACTATTAGTTAATGATCATTTAGAGATTGTGAGATGCGATCTGGTATAATGTGGGTTTAGATAAATATTTTCTTTATCGTGCCAACTTTTCAATCTTTATTGAGATCATCTTCAGGGCCTGGGATTTATAAACATTGTTTAAAGTATAAAAATGTCCTTGGACATGGAAGATGTGGAAATGAATTTATACAATAATGTACACAATATAGAAATTTTAGGTTTAATCAAACTATTTGTACTCTCTCAAAGTGTGTGTTTTCTGTGTAGATATGCCGTGTTGAGAGTGTTAGTGAGATATTAAGGTTTTTTATTTATAAATGTAGGGCTTTGAAGAAGTGGGGAAGGAATAAGGGATAGAAAACCATTTTTACATGAGGAGTCAGCTTCATTGAGGTGAAAGGTGCGGACAATGAGAAAAAAGAGGTAATGGTTTGTCCTTCGGGCCTGGATAGCCTTTCAGGATTATTATAGACTGGGATTATAGGGAAAAGAGATAAATTGTTGAAGAATTAGACTATGTAGATTTGGTACATGTGTGGAGAGCAATGATCGTTTTAAATGTTGTATTAATGATTGTTTTGTGTGTTATTGGTAATTTGATTAATGATATTAGCATAGGTGCAACTGAGTTTACATGGTCTGTCCTGTAATTGATGCTACATTTATCTCTGTTGATGTAAACCATTTCTGAATAATTATCGATTAACGATCACTAATTACCACATATTTCTAAAAAGTTACGTTTATGTTTGTTTTGTTCTGTGTTTAATATTTTTTGATTGTTGAAATCGAAAATGTGTTGGTGTTCAAAATGGTAGGATTTTGTTTGGGTTTATTTGCGATCATAGATATGTTGTTTTACCCTCTTATCCAGATACTCTTAAACAGATATCAGACTTATTTGTTACTGGTGTGGGAGCTTTAATTTTGGGAAAAAATGGTGTGAATAGTTTTTGAAGGCTATTTTAGTTATACTTTGGCATGATAAAGAAAACGTTTTTCTAATCCTACATCACACCAGACCGCATCTCAGTCTCTAAATAATCATTTTCAATTGTATTTTTTTTTTTCTCAGTCACAAGTAGTTCAATTGTAATTACAATTAAACAATCTACAGCTACTGAAATTTCATTCAACAATAAATACAGCACAATACTATAACTTTTCTACAATATATCCCGACATTAAATAGTGGACGGGGGAGTTCTATTTATCTACAAGTCAACAGACATTAAATTAATATTGTTTACATGTATAAAGTTCTTACTATTTTATTTAGATCTGTGTTATACAATTATGCAAATTACTCGATACAATTTTCATTTATTTTCATTACAGTTTCTAAATGACGGTATGTAATCCAGTTGGTAAAGAAGACATAGAAACAATGAAGTTGTTGCAGTTTTATCGTGTACCCTAGAACAGGTGACGCTTGTATAAGCGCGCTTATAATAGCTGTGCTTTAGGTCCTTTTTTATTAACAGTGAATAAACGTCATTAGTTATACGTTAAACATTTCACATAAACATTTGGCCGGTAACATTTTATTGAGACCTAACATACAAAGATCAAGAATAACGAAAAAGGCAAAGGTTTAAAATCAAAAATATCCTTATAACCTAAACGGCATTGAATTGAATTTACGAGCTCAAAAAAGACAGGGAATTTATCCAACAGGTCCCAATTGGGGAAGTGGCAGACGATTACGGTGTATTCTTTTAGTATTTACAATCACCAAATGAAAGAAAACTAATTTACGTACATTAATGATCCTGGACAAATTCGAGATTTTCTCTAAGTCGGTTGAAAATGAAATCGGCGGCCGGTGGGAGAATAAAGTCTACGATATTCGCAATGAAGTTTGCTGGAGAATAACGCAAACTGTCGGGCAGACCGACGACTGACGATTGGTGAGTGGGAACTGAGAAGGCGCGAGCGGCGAGGATTCTTCGCCTTCGCTCCAGTTTCCCCCCGGAACCCGCGAAAACTCCTTCCACCCGAACCACCAACTGCGTTGACTTGATCGTTAAAATAACACTACCAACAAATTATCCCCTATTTTTAACTTTTTTAAATTAAATTGTTTGATAATTTTTTAAGACGTTTCAGCATTCACGGTTCATTTTTTTTCAAAAATGCCGCCCACTTTCTAAAATCGATCATTTCAAAAAATATATATATAAGTTAAATAATTTCTTTGGACGAACGTGTTTTTAAAAACTTTTATTCAAAGAAATTACAAATAAGTTACTGATATACATTCAGAACTTTATGAATCTAAATCAAATCTCGTCGAAATGCTTTCGGGAAATCTGGCTTAAGACTAACGTTTGTTAAAATGAAAATCCTTATAAAATTTCTAGAGTGGGAGAGAGTGCTGATGACAATTCTAGGAGCAACACCTGCATCCTAGCATTGTCATTACTTTATTTATTTAACACAATGTTTATACTCGTATATAACTTATATATATATTATTTTGACCAATTATGACCAAATTTTAATTACATTTGAAATGTATCCAACAAATCATTACGATATTGCGTAAAAGCTTCACAAATTCAAAGATAAACTCGTTAATTATTTTTCCCTTTATAGGCGAAAAACATCAATGGTTAGCCATCGCCTTTCTAGTTTCTACTACCAGTGGTATTGGTTTTCTTCTTATAATTATCCTTGTTTTTCCGACAGGAACAATCCCTATAGATTATTTGGATAAATGGATATCGTGAAATGCGGTCTTGTGTGATGTAGGTTTAGAAAAACATTTGCTTTACTGTACCAGGTTTCAACCTTTATTTAAATCATCTTCAGGGCTGGGATTTACAAACATTCTTTGAATTATACAAATACAAGTAAGATGTGAAAAAGGTTTTTTTTTTTTTTTTTTTTTTGCCTTGTGATCTATGCATATTAACCATGGTGACGAATTCTTGTGTGTACATATTGTGGGGGGGGGTTATAAAAAGGGCCAGAGGCGACGGTGGGAATCGAACCCACGACCGTGGCGTCTATGAAAATGGGTATTAAAAATACGAGATCCATGGTGATGTTTTTATTTATTTTAATTAAAGTAAAAGACCTTAGATAAAATATAATAATTATGATCAATTATGACTGCTAAATATATATGGATTTATTATAGTTTATTTTTTACATTTAGGGCCATTGGCCCATCTTAAGTAGCCCAAGTTGGCTAATTCCTGCTTAGCACCCCACAAATACAGACATTCCTTCCAACAAACTTAAGGCGTTTCAGTCAAGCTGGGGTTTGATTGCTACGAAGATTATACTACGCGACTTCTCCTCTGGTCATTCACTTGAATTTTTTTTTTACTTAATTTATTTTCATCTACAATTGTACATGTATTATATACAAGCAGGATGGATTGCAATTTATGACTGTGACATTACAAGTGTTCTAGCATTAACTATAGCTATCCTTTGGTAGCTGCTCTGGAGTCTGGATACTCTAGATTAATAAAATGATATTAATCATTTAAGAGGTCATTTATTCATATTCTTTTCAGTCGCTTATTTGTAGGTAATTGAGTAATCATATTTGTGTTAGTGTGATTTTGTAATTTACTATGAACACCGGTAATATGTTTTGATGGATGAAAAACAGTTGGCATGTGGAGATCTCTGTTAAGTGTGTTATTGTTTAAGGGGCACAAATAATTAGTCGTAAACTTTTTCATTGAAAACTTTGTAATCTTGAATAAAAAATAAATATGATAAATAATTTACTTAAAAAGAACAGATACAACTGGTTGCCTTTTTTATAAGATGAATATACTAGAGGACAAATTTAATACACCACTAAATTTATTTAGTTTAAAATTAAATCCATTATCTTTCTACAATAGTAACAGGTAATTAGGAGCAATCGTAGTCAAAATAAACACTAAATCATCCTTTGTTCACTTTCGTACTGATTAATCCCATTTGCACAAAAAGTAGCATTATGCCCTTCCATTCTGCTAGGCTTAAAAATTGCTTGGGACCTTGGAAAAAGACAGGGAAAAGATATGTAGCCAATGCAGTAACATCATTGAAAGATAAAAAAGAGAGATACACTGAAGAGAAGGGAATGGATCAAAAATTAACATGATCCCAGCAATGGCAAGATGGTATGAGAGCAAGAAAAATGTGATTAGTCTCAGCCTGAAGAGGCTTCAAGGCCTAGCTTGAAACATAAATAACTGTGATAAGTTTAGTGTAAAAACATTGTTGAAAAGTGCAAAAAAGTAATAATTCCAATAATGACACAATAAAAATATAAAATATGTATTAAAATTTATTCTAATTGAGTTCTTGAAAGAGTAAGTGGTGTAATACCACTAAGAACAATCCTGAATGAAGGTCTAAATGCAGATGATTGGAGAGTTCCAAATTGGAAGGGAGATATTTTAAAATTGATATAGGGCCTTCAATGAAAATCCCAATATTTGTGAGAGGAAATTAAGGCATGCATGCAAAATTGTCCCCCATTGGCTGGTTAACTTAATTAATTCTTGAAAGTTAAGCAATAAATAATTTCCTTAAAGAAGCACTGTTTTCCACTGAAGATTTACGCAGTAGTTTTGAGAGTGATTGAATTAATATGGTTCATTTTCTTTATAGGAACGAACAATTTTGATGTATTCTTTAACATTGATAGAGTTGTATCTTGTAACAAAGTTGATACATGATAACTGCCAACCCCTTAGAAAAACTATGACAAGGAAACAAATGCATATAAACTCAACTATCAAAGAGACAGAATCAATAATTGTGTAGAACTTTAATCACTAATAATATGATGATAATGAATGATTTTCCAATGAGTAAAAAAAATTGTTAAATAAAAAAAATTAATTAAGTAATAATAATTTATCTACACGATTAAATAATTTTGCAATTAATTAACCCAATTTTTTCAAATAAGATTATTATTTTTAATTGAAAATTGTTGAAATGGAATTTTTGATAAACAGTATTAATTTTACCTTATTCACTTATTTATATATGTACGTTTGTACCATATAAAATTATAAGGAATAATGATTTTGGAATGATTGAGTACTATTTTTTATAGTTCTTAAATTATAATTTGTAAGAAAAAACAACTAAAGGAAGTTATAATTTGATAAACTATTTTCATAACTATTTGACTATTTTCATTTATACATATTACACAACAGTACCAATTTGTATCTCAGATATGAAATGTTTATTGAAGAGACTTAAAAATCCGATTGTAAAATGAAAATATAAACATTATATAAATATATAAATCATGTTTGTCAAGTGTGGAATATGCGAATATGCAAAAGAAACAAGAAAAATACAAGACCATTATATAAGATTTATTTACTTTAATTTTCCTAAAACGTATAAATGTCCTTTGGCCTAGTATTTTCCTGTGGTTAAAAGGAACCCTATTTTTTCCCCAATGTGGTTGGTACTATCCTTTGGCAACACCGACTAAAGCAGGTCTTACAACACGATCATGTAGTTTGTAGCCAATTTTTGAAACAACAACAACAGTCCCAGGTGCTTTTCCTGCAACTTCCTGCAAAACAATTCATTAAAATTAATGTGTGGTGGTTAGTAGTGACCGTTAATCAATAATTCACAAATCGTGAGATGCGGTCTGGTGTGATGTAGGTTTCAGAAAAACATTTTCTTTATCGTGATAACGTTTCGATCTTCTACACAGAAGACAAATACTTTGAGCCCTGAAGATGATCTCAATAAAGATCGAAACATTGGCATGATAAAGAAAATGATTTCTGAATAATTAAAATTAATAATGAGTCATTGTTTTGAATTTTGTAATCACATTGAGACAATTGATTTTTTGAGAATCAGAGTATATCAAAAATATTTATTTATTTATATACAGAAGAAATTGTTTATAGCGACACAATAAATATAAACAATTTATTTTTTATTATTTTTTTAATTAAAGAAAACATGTATACCTGCTGAAATAATGCTTCATGGAGATTCGGATCAAATTTTTCATCGATTGGATTAACAGGGGAAAGGCCATGCCTTTTGAAAACCTGAAAATTGTAAAAAATTATAAAACCCCAGATAAAGCAAAAAAAAATTATATTTATAAAAACCTTCATTAATTCAGCTTCTGTCATTGTAAGTCCAACATACAAATTTTTTAAATGGGGATTTGTATCTTTAATTTCTTCTTTTGGAACACATTCAGTAGCTTTGCTCAGAACATCAGACACCTGGAGAAACACATTTATTTTACAAAATGGTAGAACCACAAATAAATAATAGTTTAATTCCACCTCTAAAAGATCTTTACAGAAGCTTTGTATTCCATACATCTTTGCTTCTTCTATTTGCTTCATCAGTCTCTTTCTCATATTTTCATTTTCAGCCAGTGCTCTTTTATATTTGTCCTAAAACAGTGATCAATGTGAGCACAAACTTTTAACCAATAGATATAGTTTCTAAGTGAGCAAATTATGTATTTCCACTTAATACTTGTTTATGTAGTCTTTTTTTTAATTATAGAACATTTACAACAGACTAACATACTTTCTTTACTTAATGTGTTAATAATGTTTGACCTATCCGTTAAAGCATGTTAATTACATGCAAAAGAAATGACTAATTTTGTTGAAACAAAGAATTTTAGTAACAAAAATTAAAATCAAGTTTACAACAAAAGATGATTCAATTAACATTAGAAACATTATTACTATAACTTAATTACTAATTGCACTAATACATAATGTTGATACCATTTTTCTTTTACATTACATCAAACCAAAATGCGGAAATTTAATGCTAAATGGGGAAAATGGTAACAGTGTGAAAAAGAGGGAGTGGAATTAATCAAATTCAATTTTTTGTCATGGGCAAAATTTATTTACCAACTTTAACTTCATAAAAAAGCACAAAAAGAAAGAATAATGAAATGAAACACATAAAAAAAAAGACAAGAAACACGGTGAACAACCAAAGATGAAAATTGGACAAAATATCAACACTAAAAACAGGCAAAAGAAAAAAAGGGGACAACATTACAGAAGTTGTAAAACATAGATTAGATTTGATTATATAGAAGCTGACCTCTTTACGACCTGTACAACGCGACTAGTATTTGTCTATTCTGCATCCTCATTTTTTTAATCGGTTTTAGGACTCCATTTTTTAATCCTCATTGTGCTCAAGGCTTTTTACCAGACTCCAAAGCTTTTTCAAGGGCTCCCGTTTGTATCCTTAAGGCCCTGGCTTTTCCTCTCCTAGAATTAGGAAACAGCCTACATAGGCCTTCGCACCAGCAGATTAAAACTATTATTCTAGTCCAAGCACGTCCTAGATTTAGTAGTTCTGTGATGATCCTTTTCACATGCCTCTGTCACAGGTTACATTCCCATTGAGCGGAGGACTAATTATTGATCCACTGTGTAATGTATCCATGTTTTTGGCAGTTTGGTAAGCCACAAAAGGGATCAGGGCCTCACTGAACTTTCTTTAGCCAATTTATCGACCTCTTTGTTGCCCCTCTGCCTGTGTGCCCTGGTACCCAGACCAGGATAATTTGGTTATTTTTCCCAATGTCTGACAGGGCTCTAATGCAGACCCGAATGACTGGACAGGCAGCAATTGCCTTCAGTGCCGCCTGAGTAGATGAATATTCTTTTGTTAACAATCCCCTTTTTATCTCCCTGGGATAGTGTTCAATAACCGCAGTGTCCACTCGAAAGATGGTGACATACTGTCTAGGGCTTATGTGAATTCTAGTCCTTCAATAACCGCAGTTTCCACTTGAAAGATGGTGACATACTGTCTAGGGCTTATATGAATTCTAGTCCTTGGTTTATTTCGATAAATGCCAGCTCAACATATTCGGTTTTGGAGCTGTAAACCAGAATGGTTGGCATTAACTGGGATCCCTTTCTCCCAGTCTGCTCTATAAAGTATTTTGGTTAGATTTTTTTTTTTAAACAATTTAGGGAACATGGCATCAGTAGGCATCCCCAAAGTTCTGTCTAGCTGAAGCTCCCCTCGAAGCTTTGGTTGCTCCTTCTTATGTGAGTAGGCTATTAGAGCCTAGCCTTACATTAGCTAATGAATTTTGGCCCTGGCCTCTCCCTGGATAAAGATGTGTAGTGATGACACTCAAGAATACCAGGCCAGCAGGAGGTTGATTACATTCCCCCAGTGATGCCCAGGCACAAAATGAAAGAATAATGAAACAAAACACAAACAAAAGAGACAATAAACTCACAAACCAAAGCAGAAAATTGGACAAAATATCAACACTAAAAACAGGCAAAAGAAAAAAAGGGACAACATTACATAGTTGTAAAACATAACTTTAACCAAATAAAAACACACAGTTGCCTCATCCCCTCTTATCTTCCTGGTACGGGATGGGACGTAATTACCTGGTATGGGTTGTAATTTTTTTATTTTTTTTACGAGGGTTCGCAACAGCAGAGGTCATATAAACCCTCAGGGTGCCGGTGTTTTTTGAAAAAGCCCATTTGTAAGTACGTCGGGTTCGAATGCAGGGCTGCTGGATTCGAATCCGGGACCTTTATCTTACGGTGATGAGCGCCATGTCAACGCCTAAACCGTTGCGGCCACCGACGCCCTCAGGGTTGTAATTTTAAACCATTAAATAAATTTAGTACAGGGTATCGATACATGCTAGGTAGGCCTGCAGACAAAATGTTAAAATTATTATCTTTTTCTATGCAGCAAGAAAATTGACCTTTAGTCGCACTGTCTACAACTGTGTCGTAGATACATAGCTATAAAGTATTAAAAATATAGAACATACACTAAGTTCATCTTTTTGTTTTGTCATGTCTTCTAAAAGTTTGTTCAGTTCTTCAACTTGCGGGTCGGCCTTAGCTTCTTTCTCTTCTGGTTCGGCAGAGGACGTCTGTTCATCTTTTATTTTGCTATCTGAGACGGAATTGCTGCTATATTGTCTAGCTGTTGCGGTCGCCGCATACTTTTTGCCCTGAACCCTGAAAAAATAAGCGTTAAAGAATGTACAGTAGTGAAAACGACTTTTCTCACCCACCGACGCAGATTAATGCCGGCGATATTCTGAGTTTCTAAAGCAACCCGACAAAGCTTGAAACACCTCGGGAAAAGAGACATTTGTGAAATTCAAAACTAACTTTTCTTATTTTTCCTAAGTTATGATGTAATCCCGGACCGAATTACGGACAATCACACATTCGTATTATCACTAACGAGGGAGGTTATAGTTACACGCGACTTCCAACTCCTTTAACGAACGAATATTACTAGAATCAAAGTTCACCTAAAGATTTCAATGATATGTTATTTTAATTTATGCTTTATTAAATTTTAACACCTATTACGATAATATAAACTACAATTATTCTCAGTTTCCGTAGCGCTGCGTTTAAATTGTCAAGTGGCACTCGCTGAAAAGTTGGGGAAAATTGATTACCATTTTCTATTTTAATTCTAAATTATGTTATTAACGTGTTTATCATGGCTTTATTTCGATTTTAGCTATTAAAATTACAGTCGGGTTTATTTTGATTTGAATGGAAGAAAATTTTTGTGGAAACACCTTTAGAGTAGTATCACTTTTGTTTAGTTTTGTAGATAGCGGCAGGCTGCGCCTCCTTTTTTTTCTGTATTAATATATTATCTGTATGTACAAGTCTCCAAATAAATAAGTTAAAAAAGAAAAGAAAAAGTGATTGCTTTGGCGATTTCATCACTTGTTTCTAATTTTTTCCCGTACTTAATGGGTGTGGTCTTTAATCTTTAGTAGATTTGTTACCGACAAATTCCATAAGCGTTAGTAGCCTTTAGCTTGGGTCTATGAGTCAGTGACTCTTTCCTTATCTGTTCTTTGTCTTCTTATCCTGTTGACGTTTTCTTAATAAGCTTATAGGAAAACTAGAGAGAAAACGGTATGGTGTGGCAGTATGCTTCATCTTGCATTATATTTTATTCCTGACAAATATTTCGTGCCCTTTTCTCCGGGCAGGTGAAAGGATTCTAAAAGCATATTCATACATTTTCCAGATCAGATTTTCATGATGGCTGATCATTTTGGTACCATTACGGTGAAATGGGATCCCAAAAACCTAGAGATACGTACGATGTCGGTAGAAAAAACATTGGAGCCTTTAGTATTACAGGTAATATTCAACTATATAAACCATGTACTTTAACCCATCGTCCAACGACTATATTTCTTTAAATTACTATTTTTTAAAAATATATTTTATAATTTTTCTTATTTTATGTAAGGTTTTGGTTGAGGTGTAAAAGTGTCACGAGCGGGATTCGAACTCATGACCTCCGGCTCAATACACCATTGCTCTAACCACTTGAGCTATGGTGACAGGTAAAGCAGTGGCGTACTGTGCCGAAGGTCGAGTTCGAATTCCGCTCGTGACACTAACTTTTTCATCTCAACCGAGACCTTACATAAAAAGAATAATTAATTGAAATAATTAACATGGTCAATTAGACCACCATAAATTGATTAATATTGTATTATAATAATTTAAAAACACAAATCAATAGTTTGGTTTAATGTGAAAATGTGACACATTCCAACACCAATTTAACTGTTTTAAGAATATAAGCCGTCAATAGAGTTGTATAATTGAAGGAGGCAGTTGGTTTAAGTTTAATGTTGTTTCAGGTAACTACACTTGTAAATACCAAAGGACCTAGCAAGAAAAAGAAGGGTAGGTCTAAAAGAGCTCATGTTCTTGTTGCTGCAGTTGAGAAAGCGACTGAAAATTTCATTGAAAAAGGAGAAATGATAGCTTACGAAAATCCTGACATTAAACAAGAAATGCTTTCTGCTGTCGAGGAAGTCCGCAAAACAGGTGTGGTCTTTTTAGAGTCGGATTAATATTTCAAAAATAATATTCACACTATCGCAGGAGAGGCCATGAGTGCTGCTGCTAGAGAATTTGCTGATGACCCTTGTTCTTCTCTAAAGAGAGGGAATATGGTACGTGCTGCCAGGAACCTTCTTTCAGCAGTGACTAGACTTCTTATACTTGCTGACATGGTGGATGTGCATCTTCTGTTGAAATCTCTCCGTGTCGTGAGTTTCATTTTAAATACAACTTTACATGCAAAGTATTTTGGTAAATTAAAAAAAAAATTGTAGGTAGAAGATGACTTGGAAAAGTTAAAAAATGTGTCAAGCCAAAGTGAATTATTAGAAAACATAAAAGAATTTGGTCGCAATGCAACTGAATTAATGTCTCAAGCCGCAAAAAGACAACTAGAACTGAAAGACACTCAGCTCAGAGATGATTTGGCCGCTGCCAGAGCTGTACTAAAAAAACACTCCACAATGCTTTTGACTGCCTCAAAGGTTTTATTTTATTTATTTTTAATAAGGTTTAATTAAACACTTTTAATTATCCTCAAAGTGCTATATAATAAAAATAATTTCCCTTTTGTTTTAAATTTTTACCCCTTGTCTTGTTTTATACATTTTCTTATTAATACAGAGATTTTTATCTTTAAAAAGTAAATAAACAGGACTGAAAAGGGGTGGCAGGTGCCTCCAAAATATGTTTCACATTCAAATACATAAAAGAGTAATATGGCTGTCTTATTCCAAAAGTAATCTTTTTAAAATAAAAACAAATTAATAAAATTTTACTTTTTGTTACCAATAGCTCTTATTTTATGTTAATTCCATACTATCTTCATCATTTTTTTTACAAATCATCCCTAACTGATAGATTTTTATATAATAGTTTTTTCCTCCCCCTTTCTTAAAATAATTTATTTTTTTACTAGGTTTATGTTAGACATCCAGAACTTGCTGCTGCCAAAGCAAACAGGGACTATGTGTTCAAGCAGGTTTGTGAAGCAGTGAATACAATTAGTGATGTAGCTCAAGGAAAGGGTCCTACGACTACAACCAACCCCTACGAAGGTCCAGGCGAACTTGCTGCAGCCCTCGATGACTTTGATGTTAGTTGTATTTTATTTATTTCTGACAATACAATTATCATTTTCTAAAGCTAAATGATTTGTTTGAGGATAGGAGAGAATGGTTATGGAGCCACTAGCGTATAGTGAAGTCAGGACAAGACCATCTCTTGAAGAAAGGCTTGAAAGTATCATCAGTGGTGCTGCATTAATGGCCGATTCTTCCTGCACTCGAGATGAAAGAAGAGAAAGAATTGTTGCGGAATGTAATGCTGTTAGACAGGCTTTACAGGACCTTTTATCTGAGTATATGGCTAATGTGAGTTACCTTTTCTCTCAAATTGTTTAAATATTATATAATCGTTAAGTATAAATATATTTAATTAGATTGTCTTATATTTAGATTTTACTAGGAATTAACACATTGACTACATGTCAACATTCAATCATTTCATGGTGCAAGCATTGACAGTATGCCAACTTGGTCATTGCAATTTTATTGTTGTTTTATTGTGTGGAGAAAACGTAATAAAATCGACACATTAGCTGAAAAAGATTTAAAAGTAAATTAAAAAATCACATACCCAATAATATCTCAAATCAGAGTTCGTGGTCCACTTGACCAATTAATACATGACAATTAATTAAGGTTTTTAGTTGAGTTGAAAAAAAGTTAATGGCACGAGAGGGATTCGAATCCACGACCTTCGGCTAGATACGCCGCTGCTCTACCAGCTATTGTGACCTCGATCCACTCGGACATCAACTCCCCATCTCAAACCCCAGCGTATCTAGCCGAAGGTTGTGGGTTCAAAACCCTCTCGTGCCATTAACTTTTTTCATCTCAACTAAAAACCTTAATTAATTGTCAAGTATAATTGAAGTTGGTTGATAACAGAATAACTCGATTGTGATTTTAAATCGGTGTTTATTTTAAAGTAAGATTGGGAATGCAGGGGGGAGTTTTTTTCCCCAATTCTCTTCAACCTTTAAATATTACAGAACATGATGACAAGGTACCATACTACAATGTATAGATCATCTAGACCAGATTTTCTGTGCTGTGAAAAACAAAAACGTTCAGTAAAAACCTCAAAAAAAGGCAAAATTATGCATTAAATGACTTAAAAGTTGTATGTAACATGTGTCACAATCTGTTCTCGATTCAATAAGAGGGCCCAACTCTGAATCCTTTTTGTGAGAAACAGATCCCCAGAGGTCTTGATCGAACCTGAATACATTTAAAATAAATGCAAATGTGACACATGTAAAATATGCAATAATCCAAGTTTTTGTTTAATTTATGATATTAATGGTGGAGAACCGTCGTAAAATAAAACGTATTAAACATGTTAGAATTAAGTGTAATTTGAAAATCCTTATTTTTTGCTTAAAATGCAGAGGTTATATCAACCTTCGGGGTACCGGTGTTTTTGAAAAAAATCCCATTTGTAAGTATGTCGGGTTCAAATGCAGGGCCGCTGGATTCGAACCCGGGACCTTTACTTTACATTGATGAGCATCGTGTCAATGCCTAAACTGTTGCGGCCACCGACGCCCCCCTTTAATCTATTTCTTTTTCATTAATTCAATAATTGAATTGTTTTAAGAGAATATAGCCTTTATTTATTTCATAATGGAGTCATATTTTGCCCTTAAAATTTTTCCCTTGTCATTCTCAATTTTTTATATGCTCTCGAAAAGATTCAATCTGTGAATTTAATGTGAAAAGTTTTGATTGGTTAGGTATGTGCGGTTTATTAATCATTAAATTGGATGTAACTGTTTATAAAATAAGAATATTTTTTACTTTTGTAGTCGATTTAGTGACATTTTAACTTAAAGGCCATTGCACACTCACTATTGGCCGACAGTTCTAGTTCGGCTGTTACTGTACGCTGTTAGGTTGGTTGGTGGTGCGCGAATGTACAATACAATCGGCTGATTTTATGCATGTTTTTCAAGTCAAAGCTACAGTAGAAACATTTGTCCATTGGTTCAATAAAAGATCATTTATATATTATAAATGTCAGAACCCTTTGAGCTAAAGAGAGGCCGCATTGTCCTGTTATCCCAGGAAATATAAAAAGAGGGACGTAGACTCAGTAAAACTGTGATACTTTTGATAATTGACGCTTGTGCCAAAGAGGGTGCGTATCATTTTCTTATAAACTGAGGCAATATAGTACCGATCTGGTGTTCAGCAATAGTTTTTGGAAGAGGGAAACAAACTTATTGGAAACAAAGCAATATACGTAGTTAAAATATTCTAAGAAAAATGCACAAATATCCCTAGGCTTTCGCTCTCGTCAAATCAAAAAGTTCTTCAAACTAAACCCCTCATTTTAAAAAATATTCAAATGCACCTGACTAATACATAATTGAGAGATTTATTTTTAATAGATTGTGTTTTTTTTTAATTTTTTTTTATTTATTTATTTATTTATTTATTTTTTTGTCGATCTAGTACATATGAATTTTGAAAGGACATAGAACCGAAAATTTCCAATCAGACAAAAAATCATACTTAAATAAATAATAAGTTTGATAATTTCAAATTAATTAATGATAATAATTCAAATTAATAAAGAGGAATTATGCTTTTTTTTTTTTTTTTTTTTTTTTTTTTTTTTTTTTTTTTTTTTTTTTTTCTGCCACTGATTATTTCAAAAGAATTGTATTGTGTCGGTTTGTTTACGTTAATAAAATAAAATAATTAGGGCTTAAATAACCGGACGGGTTGATAGCCGTTAAAAAAAGTCAAATAATTAATGATAAAAATAAGTTAATTTTTCATTTAAAAAACACTTCAGTAAGACGGCTTAAAAAATAAATGAAAATTAAAAAAAAAAAAGGACAACGAAGAAAGTAAAATAGTAATACAAATTTCAAATTTGGACATTCTTCACATACGCAAATACAAAAAAAAAGTATATATACCACCTTCCCAACAAGCCATAAATCTGAATAATCATTTATCCATTTTCTGGTTGATGGAGAGAGAAAAAACTTGCGCCCATTTTCATCTTACCATTGGTAGTAATATTATTTGCAATTTAAGTTAATACATGCATTTTCGTGAATTCTTTCTTTAAAAAATAAATTCAACAAAATTGGATCAGTTAGGTAATTTTAAGCAATAAAAACCGAAAGACAGTTCAAAATGTGCAAATGGATAGATAAATGGTTTAGAAGAGTGAAACACAATCAAACACAGAAACATGTCTATATGAAAATTGTGTATTCCAAGAAAATGGAAGTACACATGTCTAAATGTAAATTAATTAAGTGTGTAACTTTTTCTTAACAATTAGTATTAATCTATTTTGATCTATTATTTTGGGAATTTAATCAGGCTTATCAATGAACATTGTATTGTACAAATGTATGTTTAAACAGAAAGTGTTATTTTTATTTATTTATTTTATTGTTTTTGGTAGCAACTGCAAATGCAGAGAGCTGGGAAAAGGGTAGGAATCTGTCTTTCTTTTGGATTTATTTGAAACATATATGCACTGTTTTATTTTACTATTAACTGTAATTATTGGTTTGATATTAATTGTGAATGCATTTAGTTTCTAGATTCAATGATATAATATACCATTTATTTAACTTTGTGGGTGTGTCTGGTTTAATATTATCTTATTATTAATTCAATTATCTAAGTAAATAATATATACATATGCGTATAATATATATACATTGTAAATACCTACATTGAAATCTCGATAATAAGTAATTATAATCTATATTTAAAAAAATCTGTATAAATATCTACATCTATTTTAACAGGTTTGGTTCTTTAGCTAACCTAATTTGTAGAACCTCAAAGCCAGATTCACCAATGTTAAAATATTTAAGAACCTTTGTAAACCCCTAAATAAGTTTTGTTTTGACCTTCGTTTAATCACATTAAAGTAGATTTGGTAAATGTTTTTCCAAATTACAAATGTTGGTCAGGCATGGATTCAGATGCATGGAAAAATTGATTTCACAGTCCTTTGTTTTCTTCCTGTGATCCATTCACTTTTGCTTCCTCTAAATGTGTTTCACTTTCCAATGTTATTGCCAGTGCATGACCAGATCGTTAGAAGATCGAATGTATACATACATTAAAAAATTACTTTGAACTAGGTTTATTTTTTGCATTAAAACATATTGAATATTTTTTTGTTTGCATTCACCTAGGCATTTTAGATGCCTGGTATAATATTAGAGTAGTATAGATTGTACAATTTATTTATTAATGATTTAGATGAGTGTGAAAGAGCAGAGTGAGGGTCTTGGGCGGGCTATTGACCACATGTGCCGTAAGACTAGAGACCTAAGAAGGCAGCTTCGCAAAGCAGTAGTTGATCACGTATCAGACAGGTATTAATATTGTAAATAATATCAATTTTACCAATTGAACACTTAAGCAAAAGTGGCATTTTATATTTTAATGAGGCTAAAAATTATATAATTAAAAGGACACAAATTATTCATCGTGGAAAAGGTGATTATAACATAAAGTTTTTAAGACAATGAACATCATTTGTATTGCATTCCCATGATGGAAAGAGAAGTTTAATCAAAATTAAAAGATTTAACATATCAGATCTGTGTTAAGTATGTAAGAATTGAACTCACCAAAAAGCATGCCTAAATGTGAACTCTGGTTGGCAACTCGGTTACAGAATCAGCCTCTCAGTTCATCGCTAAATTGCTATATATATAAAAAAAAATTTAATTATCTATTTCATACTTAATAATCCAGTAAAGAAAAGGTGAAGGAGGCACACCATTTGCATTCTAATCAGACTTAACTTTTTTTGTTCTCTTATATTAATATAGTTTTACTATTGTAATTAATTTTACAGTTTTAAAAATCAATTAAATAAAACATTAAAAAGGTATAATGAATAATGTGATAAAATGATTATAGCTCAGTGCTGGCATGACTCATTTCAAAAAATAACAAGCATATTAATACGCCTTCCAATTATGGTCAAAAAACATTCATAAAAACTGTGTTTAATAATTAATAATGATTTTATGTTAATAACTGTTTTAAACTTTTTTTATTGTTTTAGCTTTCTAGAAACAAGTGTTCCCCTTCTTGTTCTTATAGAGTCTGCCAGAGCAGGCAATGAAAAAGAAGTTGAGGAGTATGCGCTTGTTTTTACAGAGCATGCGAACAAACTTGTTGAGGTGAGTGATAGTGTTACATCCATGTAAACAACAGCTTTTTATTTCAATTTATGGTTTTTAGGTAGCTAACCTTGCCTGCAGTATGTCTGGAAATGAAGATGGCGTCAAGATGGTTCGTTATGCTGCAGCACAGATTGATGCGCTGTGCCCTCAAGTAATCAATGCTGCTCGCATCCTTGCAGCAAGGCCCAGGTCAAAAGTGGCTCTTGAAAACATGGATGTTTTTAGAGATGCTTGGGAAAATCAAGTCCGTGTGTTAACAGAGGCTGTTGATGACATAACAACAATTGATGATTTTCTAGCAGTTTCTGGTATGCTTTATACTTATTTTTGTAAATATAATAATTTAATTTATGCACTTATTCCCCCACAGAAAATCATATATTGGAAGACGTAAATAAATGTGTTCTTGCATTACAAGAAGGCGATGGTGATTCTTTAGACAGAACTGCTGGTGCTATACGAGGAAGAAGTGCAAGGGTTGCAAACGTTGTTACTGCTGAAATGGACAATTATGAACCTGGAATTTACACTGAAAGGGTTTTAGAGGCTATTAAAGTATTAAGGGATCAAGGTCTGTATTTTTTTGTTTCTTAAATTTCATTTAAAAATCAATTAATCTATGTTACTAGTTAAGAAATATATTATTTTTATTTATAAAAGTATAATTGGAAAAGAAAACAAAATATTACTTTTTTTTTACAAAATAACAAAATAATACTTGTAATGGCATGAACTAGTCGTCTGCCAGTTAAGAAATATATTATGGGAAATGATTTCCCAATTTGTTGAAATTGGGCATTCGTTGGAAGCCAAACTTTTGCATTAAGTAATTATTCAGAAATCGTGAGATGTGGTCTGCTGTGATGTAGGTTTCAGGATAATTTGGCCGAACCATTACCAACTTTTTTTTCCCTTCGTCGGCTCTTTTCACCTCAAAGAAGTATACTGTGCCCTTTAATAGCTATTGTATCCCCCGTTCTCTGCCTAAAGCACATCGGTGAGTCCTATTTCATCAAGAAACTTGATTAATAGGCCCGGTTTTAGTGGTTGAAGCTCTTCTATGGTCACATTATACATCCCAAAACATTTCCTCCTGCGGGCTAATGTAGCTCCGCAGTTTGTTAGTAAATGTGTTGGTGTCTCTTCTGCCTCCTTGCAGAATCTACATGTGCCATCTTGGATTGTTCCAATTTTCTTTAGGTGTCCATTTAATCTACAGTGTCCTGTTAGGAATCCTGTTAGGATTTGCAGTCGGTTCCTGCTTCCTTTGACACATTCTGTGATTTCTTTCTTGCCAAAATTGGTTAGAAGATTCTTGGATTGTCTATGTCCAATGAGTGAATTCCATTGTTCCTTCATTTTCTTTTTGTCCTTCTGCCTGAGAGATATTTGTTAATAGTGTGGATTCCTATGCCACAGGTTCGGGTCCTATCAACGGTGTGACAGCCCCTTTCCTTGCAAGGGTGTCCGCTTTCTCATTGCCTTCTACTCCCATGTATCCTGGGACCCAGCAGAGGCTGACTTTATTCTGCATACCTAGTGTGTTTAATTTGTTTTTGCAGTTCAGCACCATCCTTGAACTAATGATGCTTGAGCTTAGTGCTTTGATGGCTGCTTGACTATCTGACATGATAGCTATATTTTTGTTTTTGTATCCTTTACTTAGATTGAATTGGATACATCTTTCAATTGCGTGAATCTCAGCTTAGAAGATACTGGTGTGTTTTCCCATGGGTTCTGAGTATTTGGTTCCGGGTCCAAATACTCCTGCCCCCGTACCTTCTTGTGTTCTAGATTCATCTATGTACCAGAGGATGGTGCCATTTTTAAAGGAGTTATTTCCCTTTCTTTCCCATTCCTTTTTGTATGTCCGATGTATTCGGAATTTTTGGTTAAATTCAAACATCCTGTTCATGTCGTCTGTTGGAGCCATGAGTGTTGGATGGTCTTTCCATAGTTTGTTTCTGTCTCTCCATTTCAGTTTTATTCCTGTTGGAGGTTCCTCTCTGATAAAGTTGATTATGGTTTTCTGTGCTGTCCTTTCTTCCATGTGATGTAGGGGGATTAGTCCTAATATCTTTTCCATGCTAATTGTAGGACATGTTCTCATTGCTCCCGTTATGCAGATGCATGCAAGTCTCTGTATTTTTGTGAGTTCTTTCCTTTTGGTTATTTGTTCTGCTTTATCAGCTCAGGCTATAGCTCCGTATGTAAGTAAAGGTCTTACTATTATGGTGTACATCTATAACAGGGTTTCTGGCCTGCATCCCCAGTTTCTTCCTGCTATTCTTCTGCACACCATCAAAGCTCGTGTCGCCTTTGTGATGATGGAGCTGATGTGTTTCTTAAATGTTAGTGTTTTATCTAGTGTGATGCCCAGATATTTGACTTCATTTTTGATTTCTATCACAGTGTTATTGAGTGTTATTTCTCTCATGTGATCTAGTTTCCTTTTCCATGTAAAAGTGACTATAGTTGTTTTGTTTGGTTTAATCCCTAAGCCTGCGCTTTTACACCATTCTTCTGTGATTTTCAGTCCCTCTTGGATTATATTGCAGAGGGTTTCCTCGAATTTTCCCCTGGCTGTCAGAACTATGTCATCTGCATATCCCTGACATTTTATTCCTGAGCGGTCCAGGGTTTCGAGCAGTTCATTAACTGTTAGGCTCCATAGAAGAGGTGATAATATCCCTCCTTGAGGACATCCTTTTGTTGTTCTAACTTCTATAGTGTTTATTCCTACATTTGCTTCAGCTATTTTGGTTCTTAGCAGTTCTCCAATCCATCTAGATGTGGTTTGGTCTATGTGTTTTTTCCCCAGGGTGGCTTCCATTGATGCATGAGATACATTGTCGAAAGCTCCCTCAATATCGAGGAACGCGCAGATTGCTATTTCCTTTGTTTCCAGTGTTTCCTTTAGGTCACTGGTTAGTTGGTACAGTGCAGTTTCTGTTGATCTTCCTGCTCTGTATGCATGCTGACAGTAATGGAGAGGCTTGTTTACCAGTGCTGTCGTTCTTATATAGTTGTCTATCAGCTTTAGCTGACGCCTTATACAAAAATGTCTTTTCTATACCGACTTCCTTCCCCACCCCTTCAAAATTCAACATATATAAACATAAAACAGCAATATCTCATTGGCACTCTCAACACGACACAAAAGAATGGCGCAATTACACAGAAGACAAACACTTTGAGTGAGTAGAAATACTTTGATTAAATATAAAAAATATATTTTGCATTGTATAAATTCATTTTTTTCCACATCCTACATGTATTTGTAAAATTTAAACAATGTTTATTAATCCGAGGCCCTGAAGATGATCTCAATAAAGATCGAAACGTTGGCACGATAAAGAAAATGTTTTTCTGAAACCTACATTACACCAGATCGCATCTCTGATTTCTGAATAATTATCGATTAACGGTCACTAATCACCACACATTTTTGCATTAAGATATTGGAGCCTTGTGTGTTAAATAAACAAGCAGTTTATTTTTCATTTTGTTTCCTTGTTATTTTATATACGAATTCTTTTTTTATATACGAAAAATTTATTTTAGTAGGCTTTTGTGTTAAAGTTTTAAATAAAATGTCAGTTTTCCCATCACAAAGGCATATAAACTAAAAACACATTTTTGCACTTTATTTTTTAAATGTGTAACAAAATGGAAGTTAAATCTTTCATTCCATGGTAATGTAAGAACTTATTTGTTTTTTCTGATTTTACAAGATTAAAAATAAAATCTGAGTTAATGTGTTTCTCATTTATTACGTTTTATATGTTCCGTTTATATCTTGTTTCTAAAACTAATCAATTAGAGATTTTGTTGTATCAACCTACAATGCTTGTAATTAGATTGTGTTCATCAACAATCTATATAGAAACAAAAAACACTGTTTTAGTTATTGTGTTAATATTATCATTTGTTTGTAGTGATGCCAAATTTTGCTCAAAGGGTTGAAGCAGCAGTGGATGCACTTTCATCAAATCCGCCGAAAGATGTTGATGAGAATGAATTCATTGATGCCTCGAGGTTAGTCTATGATGGTGTGAGGGAAATCCGCCGAGCTGTGCTTATGAATAGGGTAAGAAAATATATTCCTAATTGTGTATCATTTCATCTCAAATTTAAAACGGATCGCATAAAAATTTAGTGATTTAAAATATAAATGTTTTACAATGCTAACAAAAGACGGATGAAGAACTTGATCCAGAAGAAGTCGAGATCGATGAGCAATATGCATTCGAGACTCGCAGCAAATGTAAGATTTAGAATGTTGCATGTTCAGTAGATCATTTAGTTTTGCACTTTTACAGACTTCGGAAGAGTTAGATACAGATACCGAATTCGAACCTTATGAAGATTTGATGATTGATAACAGGCCTAAGCAAAGTAAGACAACCAAATTTTTTGTTTTATGGATTTTTATTACATTTTATTTTTATTTCTTTACTCGTTTGTACATATAAATAAAAAACTTACTTGTACATATAAATAAAAAACTTACTGATGATATAACACCACAACAGGTAAACTTTGAAGTTTGTAAAAAGAAAATATAATTTTTGAAACAGAAAATATTTAATCCTTTTTTTTAAAGATAGTTCCTACTCACAGTAAGTACTTGCTGTGAGTAGGAACTATCTTCTTTAAAAAAAAAAAAAAAAAAGGATTGAACACAGCACTCACTCCATCATTCTCCATTTCTATGAAAATATTTAATGTGATGAAATAATAATTGTCATCGATAACAAAATTAGCTTTACCATCATATTATAACGTCATAGTGAAGCTAGTTTTTTTAATTTATTTTTTATATTTATTATTTTAAGTAAATGTGGTGTTTGAAACATTTAAATTTTTATTGCAATTGGTGGAGGTATATTTAATATAACACAGATTAGAGAAAAATAATTTTTTTTATTTCTTCGTTTTTGTTGTCCTTGTTTTATTTTCATTGATGGTTTAAGTGTTCTTATTTCTAGATCTTTTTTAAAGGTTTTCAATAAAATTTCCAATATGCAGCTTGTCAGCATCCTGCACCATTTTCAAATACATGAATTTTAATTTCTTTAGTGCTATAAAAAAAAAATTTAAAGGCCTAGAAATAAGAAAAAACCTCTATGAAAAGGAATTGTATATTACAACTAAAATAGTTTTTACTTGTTGCCAAATAATTGAGCAATAACGTTAAATATTTTTATAAATATCTATAATTTTAGTTTCTGGGCTGGGCTATTGTTTTACTTACAATTCACTAAATTTGAAAAATATTTTGTTAATTTATTTCAGGGAACTCAAGATTAACATATTTTAATTTCTGTACCTATAGATGCATGCTTTATATCATCTTAAAGTTATGGTTTAGTGAACAATAGATGTGATAATTGACTAATTATTATTTTATTATTTATGTGTTTTATGTTCTAAAAAGTGTTACTATTTTTTTATAGCAAGCGTCCAAACTGTCGATCATGGTGTGGATGAATATCCTGACATCAGTGGAATAACAACCGCCAGGGTATCAATATACGTTTAAAGTCAGAAAATGAGAAGAATCTGTAAATATTTCTTATTTTAGGAAGCAATGCGAAAGATGACTGAAGAAGACAAACAGAAGATAGCTCAGCAGGTCGAGTATTTCCGCACTGAGAAACTTAAATTTGATCGAGAAGTGGCTAAGTGGGATGATACAGGGAATGACATCATTGTACTCGCTAAGCACATGTGCATGATTATGATGGAAATGACAGATTTTACAAGAGGACGTGGGCCTCTGAAAACAACAATGGATGTCATTAACGCAGCCAAGAAGATTTCTGAAGCTGGTACCAAACTCGACAAGCTGACAAGGCAAATTGCAGATCAATGTCCAGAGTCTTCGACCAAAAAGGATTTGTTGGCATATCTCCAGAGAATAGCACTCTACTGCCACCAACTTAACATTACGTCTAAGGTCAAAGCTGATGTCCAAAACATAAGTGGGGAATTAATTGTTTCGGGAGTAAGTTTAAATGTTGATTAGCAAAATATAATTTTATTGATATATTTTTGTTACAATTTAGTTGGACAGTGCAACATCCTTAATTCAAGCAGCTAAAAATTTAATGAATGCAGTTGTTCTCACTGTTAAATCCTCTTATGTGGCAAGTACCAAATATCCACGACAAGGAACCGTAACAGTAAGTAGCTAAAATATATTTTTTACATAATAAAACACCATTTGTGTGGGTTCATTAATTTTATTTAATTTTTAATAAATGAAAAACCCATAATAGTTAATAAAATTTATTAACGTTTTATCAATTAATATTAGTAGTAATCATTTTGTGAGATTGCTCCATATAGTCTATGGGGTGATGAATCTGTAATTTGATTGTTACTGAAGATGGCGAAATGCCAAAACACATCTGACAGACCAAACTAGTGAGGATAGGTGAAAATGATCAATAATGACAAATTCCAGTAATAATTTTGTTATAATATAAAACTAATATAGGTAGAAATATAAGAAGAAACAGTATTACAGAACTGTGTGGTAATTAGTGACCGTTAGTTGATGATTTAGTCGGAGATCGTGAGATGCGGTCTGGTGTAACGAAGGTTTAGAAAAACATTTTCTTTGTTGTGCTAAAGTTTCGATACTGATATCATCTGCAGGGTGTGGCATTTATAAACATTGTTCAAATATAAAAATGTTTATAAATCCCAGGCCCTGAAGACGATCTCAATAAAGATGATCAGTATAATAAATTTAAAATTAAATTGTCAAATAATCATTAACTAACAGTCACTAAACACTTCATAAAATAAATTCAGTATTTCAAAATGCTTTGGATTTCACTCAATTTTCATTCCATTATCTGTTCATATTAATACATACATGCAAACCTGATAAATTTAATCTCTTTTAAACTACTTTAACCGTAGAATCTCAATGATCAATTGATTGGGAATATGCATTAACAATTTAACAGATTTATTGAAACTCAAATTATGTGGGTTTATTGTCTTATTGATTTCAAATTGACAGTATAATAAATTTAAAATTTAATTGTCATCTTAATAAATTACATACTTATTGGATAGGAAATAGCTGAGGCAGGTATCTTAAACCGAGATTCTGGATCTTTTTATTTTCCTGTTACTGATTCTACTTCAATTCTCTGCAACATTGCCTTGGTAAAGAGAGAAGCTTGTTTTAAACTTTGGTTTATGGCCTTGCAATGAATTATGCTTCATTGCAGTTGGTGTTACATTTTTTTAACAAAGGCTTTTGAATTTTAAAATTACGTACATATTGTGTTTGAACTAATTTGTTTTGTGATTTGCAAAAAGATGTACAAGACTGAGTATGTGTGAAGAGTAAGTATTACTATTCAAAATAAATTTTGAGTTAACAAGGAACAGAACAAAATGCTCAGTTTGATGGATGGGCATATGTCTTTTAATAAAATAAATAAATCTTATCCTTTACATACAAAATGTAGCCTTGGAAATACTGTGCTATCTCCTATTCCCAAAACCTATTTATGACTTTTAAACTTGTGTCTAAGTAGAATTTTTTCTCTTTAAAACTAATGTATACTTAAATATGTTATGTACCACATATTAACCAAGAAGTTTGAGCATGTATACTGACCACATTGTCGTTAAACACTTCGGTTAGATTGTCTTTAATTTGCGTCCTGCACTATATTGTTACAGTCACCGATTGTGGTGTGGAAAATGAAAGCACCAGAAAAGAAGCCACTTGTGCGACCTGAGAAGCCTGAGGAAGTAAAAGCCAAGGTGAGAAAAGGGTCACAGAAAAAGGTCCAGAACCCCATCAAGGCACTGAGTGAATTCCAGAGTCCTGCTGAATCTGTTTAATGTAATGAAATAGTGAATTGTTGTACTCAAGATGTACTGTTTCAGTTTTTTTTTTTAACATAAACAAATATGTTTACACTCCCACTGCTTTTGCTTTGTCGTTATCCTAATTTTAAAAATTGATTCTTTCAGTGGTACAAGATCTTTGATTCATTGTAATCTTTTATACCACCAACATTTCTTATGTACTTTATTGTTGTAAATTTTACAGTGGTATTGTTTACTTTTAAATTTCAAGACACAAAATATGAATTGGCAACTTGTAAAAGAATAATTTCTGATTTCCAAAATTAATGCAAGTGCAAAACAAGTTACCAGACGTATTTAAATGACATAATCGACTAATGTATCTTCTTTTAATATACATGAAAAATCCACAAATAATTATAAAATACATTAGTATGCAAATGGGTTAATATTTCGCCAATTAGGACTCCTGTTTATTGCATGTATGCATCTTCGTTTTCCACGATGAAAATGGCAACATACAAATTGATTTGTTTACAAGGCAGGACATATTGAAAGAGATTTGAATGCATCTATTTTTTCACAATTATTTACTACTTTATTTCAAAAATTTATTTTATTTTATATAGTAAATTAGGTTTGCATTGAACTTATAGTCAGTTTGTATTTATTTCTTAATGCATACTATATTTATATTTATATTTAAAAGAACATTTATAAATTTGTTAACATTTATTTCAAGCAATTGTATTGAACTAGAATAGATAAAATTTTGTTGAGTTGACATTGTTTTAATATCACCTCAGATTGTATCTTTGATGCTTTCTTAAAATTTATTTTTAAAAAAAATTCATTCGGGTGTCAGCTGGTGTACATACAGTATTAATCAATTAGGTATTATATTCTTAATCACTATTTTCAGGGCATTTAAAGTACCAGACATGAATAGTATTACATTTAAATTAATGAATTGTATCTAATATGGTAGATATTCTAGATTTAATAAATCTCAATAGAAACACTTTTTCCTTTTCTTTTTAAACTGCGCCTTATCCTTTAGTAAAGTTATTAGCTTAACAACATGTGGTTTTGAAGAAAGAACTTTATTTGCATAAGAAAATACAACATAATAATAAATAAAAAGTTCTTAATAAATCATTCAGAAATTGAAAAAAAGGACCTCTCTTGTGGAGGAGTTGCACTGTGAACAATAATCAACCAAATCATCTCTAAATGGTAAGAAAATAAGGTAGATCAGGTCGCGCCTAATTGCCGCTTGAAGTACCACTACGTATGACAAGGGGACAACGTTAGATTATTATTATTTATTACATTTTTCACAGCACGGATTTGTAAAGGTACTCCTGAATATTTTGATTTAAAAATATTTCCAAAAGGTCAAATAAAAAAATAGTCTTTACTGTTAATTTCACTAATTTCGTGGTCCGCTTGACCAATTAATACATTACAATTAATTAAGGTTTTTAGTTGGGATGAAAAAAAGTTAATGGCACGAGCGGGATTCGAACCCACGGTCTTCGGCTAGATACGCCGCTGCTCTACCACTTGAGCTATTGTGACCTCGATCCACTCGGACATCAACTTCTTAAAATTCAAAAGGTGGGGTTGAGATAAGAAGTTGATGTCCAAGTGGATCGAGGTCACGATAGCTCAAGTGGTAGAGCAGCGGCGTATCTAGCCGAAGATCGTGGGTTCGAATCCCGCTCGTGCCATTAACTTTTTTTCATCTCAACTAAAAACCTTAATTAATTGTAATTTACTGTTAATGTTGACAAAGTGATAATAAAGGCCTGTGACATAACTTCAATTCCAATAATACACCCTACAAGCTCAAAAGTGGGTTTTCTGGAAGAGGTGTGTTCTGAACTACGTCTATATAAGTAGTGCGTGGTTGGAGACCAACAGCTTTAACAAATATGTAAAGTTTAAAAAAAAAAAACCTTTTAAACGATCAAGTTCCTTGTGTAGCAGAATTCTAGTGGATCTATGGAATATTTAAAATCCTTCTTTTTGTTAAGTTCTGTCTAAGAGTAAAAGGAAAGTCCAGATTACAATTGTGGGCATTTACTTTTATATTGTGAATTGAGCATGGAATTTGAACCACGACAAGTTGGTATTAATCACTTCGACTGCAGAAATTTTAAGTAATCTATGTTTAGGTAACAAGTTAGAGGGTTCAAACTGAATGCAGGGCTGCTGTATTCGAACCCGGGACATTTACCTTACAGTGATGAACACTGTGTCAACGCCTAAACCGGTGAGGCTAGCGTGCCCCCTAGTTGATGGATTAACATTTAGATGAAAAAAAGTCAATATTTGGACATATGTGTAGTATTTAGCTGTGAATCTCAATAAAGATCGAAACAGCACAATAAAGAAAATGTTTTCCTAAACCCACACACACACCAGACAGCATCTTACTTCTCTAAATAATCATTTGGACACATCTTATTTCCTTCTCTCATTATTCTATTTATTGGTGAATAAAGTAATTTGTTTTTTATAAAAGACTTCAATAGAAAAAAAAGCATAGAAATTCATAGCAATTCTCATATTTATCACTTCTGATTTTAAAAAAGTGTGTGAAGCTAAAGCTTGAAAACAGATAAATTAATAGAAAAAATATATTTTTGAATAATTATTAGCTTAAAGTTACTTTGTTTATATTCATCCTTACCAAAATCAATATTTCTCAAAGTCCTTATCTAAACACCAGTCATTTGACTGGTTGTGGTATAAATAGGTTTATATTCAATTTCGGTATGTTTAGTGTTAAATATTGTATTATTAATATCAATTAGACAGTTTTACTATAAAGTTTAAATTGTTTCAATTCATTTTAATTTTTTTCTTGTAAATATTTTTAAATTTTGTGTATTTAAAACCTTTATATTTTTAAAACACAAGTATATGTATTACATACGTTATTAATAACCTTTATTAATTTTGAAATGTAACTACCTTTCATGATGATGAAACTAAATCTCATAAAAATTGCAGCAGACTGAGTCATACAAAATAGTACAAAATTTCGGATGATGAAATATGATCCTGTACCTGACCAAATGAAACTTAGATGAAAACAAGCTAAGAGCAGTAATTTATCATCACTAAATGCACTGAGATTTAATTGTAATTGTAAATGTGGTACACAATCAAACCCCAAGGGAGGCATCTGTCGCCATTATCGTTCAATATTTTTATAAATGATTTTGCTAACTGTTTTAATTTTTGTGTGTTCAGGCTCTTTGTAGACAACTTAAAAATTTTTAAACCAATCAAACCTTTAGAGGACTGTAATATGCTTCAGCAATAGGTCTCAAATCTAGTCAATTGGTAAATTAGTGTGATCTGAATGATACATCCTCAAAGTGTAATATAAGCTCGGTGAAAAATCCATAAATTGTATAATGCATTAAATTGGATATAAAGATATTATTGTTAAGCAAATAAATACAGAGGAGAGTCAAAATTTTTTTGACACGCTCTGAGAACACCAACTGCCTCTGCGATATCCACTTGCTGGTGACCTCGATGGTTCATTCTCACAATAATATTTCAAACTTCTGGTTCAAGATGATGTCTTTCCATGGTATAGATAATACAGCTGGATTAAAATAGAGAAAAGACAAGAAAAGGAGTTTGATTATAAAATGAGCAATCTTCATGCTTACTATTCTTAAGTAAATCTCTTATTATTTTTGGTTTGTATATTCTATTTTGTTTCATCCAACTAATAAGAGTATATCGATTGATTTAATTAAAATTAATAGAATAAGCATAAATTTTAAATATTCTTTTGTTTAAAGGAGTTTAGTTTGGGGTCTGCTTTTTCTTAATATTCCAAGTGCCAGCATAAAAATGTCTGCTGCATTTTGAATTTACGCGGTAAGGCTGGTAAGAATAAAGTAATTTATCGAGACCTTATATTCTTCTAAATATGAGTAAATTTTTATTTCATAATAATATGAAATTAACCCTGTTAACGCTTCAAATGCCCAAACACCTTTTGTGTTAAAGTGTGGTGTTTGTGTAGATGGTCAAGAAGGCAAACGTAAGCTGGAACATCACTACTATTCTAAAGTGTAGAGTGTATTGCGTGTGTACTGTAGACTATAGAGAGTACTCTGCAGGCCCGCAGGGATATTATTTGTCGCTTTTCTCAATAGGTTTTTCCCCCCCAACAAATCTATCCTTTTCCTTTACTAAAGCAGTGAATCCATTGACAGGAATAAGTTCTTCGTGAAGAGTTCAACATGAAGAAGAGCCGGATAGAGTACATTGATCCGTACGTGACAAAAAACAAGAGGTTTGTGTCATTTGTGTTAATACTTTCCATCGCCCAGAACAGTTTTACGTTCTACCACGAGGACCACATCATTACGCCGATTACCTACCATTTTAATAGTTTCTGTTTCAAAGATAATTGTCATTTACTTTTTGTTTAATTTAAATATGAATTAATTTAGGGCGATTCTTCGTTATAACATAACCTACATATTGGAACAAAGTCTCAGGCAGAATTATAATTTCTAGGTTTTCCCTGGCTTATTAAACATTATTGAGCCAATGAACTTATAGTCGTGATCTTATTCTAAATATAAAACTACTTGAAACATGTGAAAGCAAACGCCCAGCGGCGTTCCTCATTTAAATCGGATTAATACATTTGGTAACAATAGCATCCAATAATTAATTACTTAACAGTAATAGATACGAGTTTAGGGTGGTATGAGGTCAGAGTGTGTCTTTTCAATTGTCTGATCATGGAGTTGGTCGGCTTTGGGCAATTTCTTGCATCAGTCGGTTGCGGTGATGGAGCGGTGGTGTCGACTGTAGGTTCTTGATCACGGTTTTAACATTAGGGATGTGCAAATGAGGATAGTTCGGTTCCAAACATGCCATGAAGCGTTTGTTATTAACTGAGGAACGGTTCTGAATGGTTTGCTCTCTTTTATTTTGTGATTCAGATGCCGATGACCATATGGTGCAACTGTATTGCCATATAGACCTAAGATCGTTATGTAAATGAAATGGATGGTTTTATTGGCGAAGAGATGTTTCAGTGCGAACATTAGATGCCGACTCAGTTTTTAATATGTGTTGCCCGTATTTGCTTTTGGTCCAGGTATAAGCTCTAGATATTGCAACAGTATTGTAAATAATTGTATTGTAAATCACAAAAGCTCTCCTTGGCCCTTTCATTTGTCACCGAGAATCATATTACACGACATTTGAAAAATGGCAAAAAGGAGGGAAAATTCGAGAGGTGAGGTTGAGATGGGAAGTTCGTGTCAGAATGGATCGAAGTCACGATAGCTCAAGTGGTAGAGTAGCAGTGTATTTAGCCGAATGTCGTGGGTTCGAATCCTGCTCGTGATTTTAACTTTTTCATCTCAACCAATACCTTTCATAAGGATTAATTAATTGAAAAAAGTTAATTGGTCAATTGGATCACGAACTGTAATGGAGTATTGTAAATGTTACTGGTTCTCCCTGCTACACAATTGCTTCATTTGACATGAGGCGATGCTAGTGAATTGGTCTATTTGTGACACAGTTGGGGTCACTTCTACTCTCTATCTTTTACATCAATTGCTGACACTTTCACGAATTCTTTCAGAAGAAGAAAAATAACTTTATTCTAGGACTGGTGTCCCCTAAGAATAATTTACATGAAATAAATAAAGGAAGTTCCTTCTATGAAGTTAAAAGTAAAAAAAGTTAGAAATCTTGGCACAATGTATACTAGTAAGGTAGGCCAGAAGAGAAAATTACGAGAATATTAAATAACAAATGTTAACGTGAGGTCTCTGCTTGGAGGGAGAGGAGGTGATTATACAGGTGGGATTTAAAGGAGGAAAAGGAGGCAGCGTGACAAATAGAAAGGGGAAGGGAGTTCCAGAGTTTAGGGCCTCGGATCAGAAAGAATCTTTTGAAGGTATGGGTTGGATGTTGCGGAAGGATAAGGTCGATTGGGGATGAGCGGGTCTTACGAGTGAGATGTGAGGAGTTGAATTGGAGGGATTGGATGATGTAAGGAGGACAACGAGCAACCTAGGGAATACTGTGCACGGAAGGATGGAAATAGCCAGGAAAGTTGGGAATACAATCCCGACACCCGGGATCCCCATGGGGTGCCATACACAAATCTTACACAACAATTCATAATACGCTTCAATCGCGCTTTCTCCCCCTCCAAGAGACAACTGTATGCCACACAGCTATAATCGAAGAAGGGAAGTATAAGGGAAGATACAAGGAGTTTGCGGGTGGAGAAAGGTAAGAGAAACCAGGACTGATGAAACAGGCTGAGGGATGCAATGGAATGACGGGAAATTTGGGAAATGTGATAATGCCAGGAAAGGTTTTGGTCAAAGACTACTCCTAGGTTTTTTACCAAGGAGCAGAAGGAGATGGGATGATTATTTAGCATGAGAGGTGGGATGTTGAGGAGGGAATTGAGGAGTTGCCTGGACCCGATAATTATGGCGGTGGATTTGGACGGATTGAGGATTGGGGAATTTTTATGGGCCCATTCGTTGATGGAGTTTAGGTCTTTTTGGATCTTGAGAATGGCCGAGTGAAGATCGGAAGGGTGGAAGGATATGTATATTTGGGAGTCATCGGCATATAGGTGATATTTACAGGATAGGATGGAGTCGGGCAGGTCATTGATATAAGTGGGAAAAAGGATAGGAGAGATTCTTTTAGTACGGAATGGTTTCTTCACTGGTACCTTGTTTTGACAGTATGGTGACATCATCAGAAAAGTGTTGTGTGGGCTGTTTTTAAAAGTATATTTGTTGGGAAATCAATTGAAAAGAGAAGGTAGAGAAAAGGCCACAGTACTCAGCATTGAGGTACTCTTGATCTAATTTTGAAAGATTGTGAATAGGCTTCTCCATAGCGCACTGAATATCTTCAATTCATAAGGTAAGGTTGTACTATGCAGTACAAGGAGTAATCAACGAGAGGCTTCAGTTTTATTATAGGCCTGGGTCTTACACTTTGTCAAATGCCTTTTCAGTGTCTATGAACAGTCCTAGACACTTTCTTTTCCTTGCACATGTCTAATATTTCATCAATAACCCTGTGCATTTGATGTGGACAGGGGTGTAAGAGTCTGAACCTGAAATAGCTGAGTGGGGATTACTGGTTCCAAGTGTAACATGAGCTTTGGTAGGGGTCTTTAGAAAACCTTAGAGAGAAGAATAAGGAGATTTTTATAGTGATATGTTAATCTGTAACTGTTTGTCATATTTCCTTTTTACCGGTTTGGCAATAATGATGATTTAGTGCTTCCATTTCAGTAGGAAGTAGGTTGTACACCCAGGAAGAACTTTATGGGGAAGTTTGCCAAGAGCTGTTGGACTATGAGGTCTTGGCCTGGAGTTTTTTTGGTGGGGATTTAAAAAAAAATATATATATATAGCGGTTTTGACCTCGTTGGATGTAAATAATGGTGCTTCAGTTCACAGGAGACAGACTGTATCCTGAAAACAATTGACCGAGATGGGTTAGGCGAAAATTAGTTTGGCGATGATTTGCATGCATTTGCTTTGGATTGTCATATGGTTTGCCACAAACTTGAGTTAGCGACTTTTCCCCTCCCCAAAGGAAGCCATCTGAATGTCAAGTTAAGAAGCTTTGCTTGCATTATGTTTTTGTTGTAGCTTTTGAAATGCGCAAGTGAAAAATGTTTTTAATTTAAAACCATTTCATATGATATTTATGTAGATCATAATTTCTGGTTCAAGGGATGAAATCAGACGTTGTAAGAATGCACAATATAAATCTCTGTCTCCACCTCCAATGCAGTTATTAAATATTGTAGGCCAGATTTATAAAGGTTTTTCTCCCCTAATGGAATATAGCTAGAAATTTGCAATGCTCTTAAAGTATTGGGTTCATTTATTTTGAATTCACCTATCTGTTGAAACAGCTTGCTTGGAATATTGAATACTGGAAAATTAGAATTAAAGTAATCAATTTTAAAAAAATAATACCAAATTTGAAGAAGCTTTTTCATCTCCAATGTATTGACAAGTTTTCCCCCTTTACAATTATTTAAGAAAAAAAAGTGTAGAGCACATATCAGAAGAAAGAGTGAGTTATAGGATTTTGTAGTCAAAAATAGTTTGTGGATAGAATTATTCTCAACTATTGAATGGTTTTTGTACACATAATCATTCTTATAGTTAGTTCACACTCTGAAACATAAGGTCAGCCTTTGTCATGCAATAGGATTCACCAGTGATGGCTTATATTTTTATATACTTTTTCTTTCTCTCTTCACTGAATCCATGCATAAATAAATATATAAATTGTATATGCATTTCATTCTTAATACATTGCTTCTCTATGAACTGTATTTCATAATGTGTGTTTGGTTTTAGTCATTCCTCTGGCAGTAGTTCTTCTTCCTCGTCTTCTTCTTCTTCAACGAAATCATCTTCAGTTCAACCAAAACTCCAAACCAGCCGTAACCCTTTTACAGGGTTGCCATTCACACCTCGGTAACTTTACTTGGAATTGTTAAAAATATTTAGTTTTTGAATTTGTTTAACAAGAATATTTCAGGTACCATGAATTTTACCGGAAGAGGATTCAATTGCCTGTCTTTGAGTACAGACAAACATTTATGAACTATCTTCATAAAAATCAGTGCATTGTGTTAGTTGGAGAGACAGGTTCAGGAAAAACAACTCAAATACCTCAATGGTACATATTTTGGGTAGTCGTGTTTTGATTTTGATTTATTTTGTTATTAATTTATTTATCCTTTCACTGTAGGTGTGTAGAGTATTCAGTCTGTGTTGGCTCAAAAGGTGTTGCATGTACCCAGCCAAGAAGAGTGGCTGCCATGTCTGTGGCACAAAGAGTTTCTGAAGAAATGGATGTTTTACTTGGGCAGGAGGTCGGTTATAGCATTAGGTTTGAAGACTGCTCATCAGGAAAAACTGTGTTAAAGTATGCCTTAAATATAGCCCAATGACAGGTTCAATATTTTCTAACTTTAAAATTTTCAGGTACATGACTGATGGTATGCTGCTGAGGGAAGGGATGTCAGACCCGATGCTTGAAAACTATCAAGTAATTCTTCTTGATGAGGCCCACGAAAGGACTCTAGCCACTGACATTCTCATGGGTGTTCTGAAAGAGATAATCAAACAAAGGCCTGACCTGAAATTGGTTATAATGTCGGCTACGCTTGATGCAGGAAAATTTCAGGTATTTCAGTAATCTCATTTTTAGCGCATTGAACCCAAAATCATTGCTCATTTTCTATCAAATGTAAGATATGCTGTTAGAAGTTTTGTAAGATAATTTAAACGGTCCAGAAAAAAATCAAAAGTTTGGAAAAATATGGTTGTGGTTGGAATGCTGGAATCCACTGAAGATGATGTATCAGGTAAAAAGTTAAACGAAATGGTACCACAATGGCGAACTATACCCAAATACTTCTTTTGTGGAGCAACCTCTGGATTCAATGTTTCAAAGTTTTAAAATGATATTTATTTGATTATATGTGTTTATATATACGTGTGTGTGTTTTTTAAGCAATATTTCGACAATGCACCTCTCATGAATGTTCCTGGTAGGACTCATCCTGTTGAAATTTATTACACTCCAGAGCCAGAGAGAGATTATTTAGAAGCAGCAATAAGGACTGTCATACAGATACACATGTGTGAGGAAATAGCTGGAGATGTTTTATTATTTTTGACTGGGCAAGAGGTAAAATATATAATATATTCCATCTTTGTATAATGTCATCAGGAGTGACAGATGTGGTTGCTCTCTGCTCCCAATGACATTGTGGTAGGGGAGAGAGTGGAAAAAGGTTGTACCGTGTGTGTGCGATATGGCTAATAGATTGGACCTCTACAGGAATTTGATATTGTTTCAGAATGACTCGGTAAGCTGCTAGTTATTTCTGTACATTGGGTGATTCAGGTTATTGGTGATAGGTGGTGATGGTACGGTATAAGATTTAGAAAAGTTAACTATAATAGGATTAAAAATATTATTAATTAAAAGGTCTTGGCAAGGTTTTTTTTTTTTTTTTGTTTCCTTGGCTTATCACAACTGAATGTAGGGCAGAGCATGATTCACTTGTGAGGAACACTTGCAACAAACATTTAAACAAAATTTCCCTTTTTCGAAGTAGCTCTGGGTGGTATTTAAATAAAATGAACTGAGTGTGGGGAGGCCTCCTGCATAAATACAAAATTAAAAGAAAAGGAAACAAACAAAAAATTAAAACAGACTTTTTACCAATAACTTCGTACATTTATTTATTTATTTTTTAAATAATTATACTAAAGTTGTTGTTCTTGTAATCTGTGGTCGGTTTTTTGGACTCCTCCAAATCCTTTTATCAGCAACAACTTTCCCAAGCCTGGAAGGATGTAAAATCTTTTGAGAAAGTTGTCACTGATGAGGGTTCATGGGAGTCCGTATTAAATGAGTTATACAAAAAAAAGTAAATAAATAATTTAAAAAAATTGGTTGTTTGTTCCATATTTTTAAAAAATCTGCCCACAAAATATACTTTGCTACCATCTTTTACTACTAAAAACTTTTAATTAATGATATTTTTCTAAGTTTCTAAATCCTGTACCATCGCCACCTTAACACCAATTAACCAAATCACCCATTGTACTGAAATAATAACTATGAGCTTACTGGCTCTTTGTCTTTCTTAAACAATCTCAAATTCTCAGAGAAGGCTTATCTATCCATATCACATACACTTCTAGTACAATCTCTTTCTTCTCTCCCCTGCCATGTCATGCGTGTGAGGAGCCGTGATCATATCACTGCTGACGACAGTGAGTAATGTTAATTCTTCATAAAAAGTTTCTACTCACAGTTAGTCATTTTCAACGATCTGGATTTCAAGCTTATAACTCATCATCAGGTTGAAGGAATTTACAACCACGTCTCTCGACACGAATTGTAAAAGTGAACCTGCCGATCCTCCGCCAATGCGACGTTCCCATGGGAAGCTGGGTTTTAATGCTGCTCAATTTTGAACAGCCAAAAGTGGGAATTATAACCCAACTAAATATTAGATTAATAAATATTGTAAGAAAATAGTTATAAATTTGTGATTAATTTATGTTTTTATTTATTAATTAATAAAAATAATATATCAGTAATTTAATGTTAAAATTAACTTATAAAAAATAATTAATTAATTTGATTAAGTTGTATGATTAGTATTGTTTAGATGCATATATAAATTAGGAGGTAAATCAAAATCTATTATATTATTAATGCATTTATCTCCATGTTCACTAATTTATAATTGTTTTCTTACAGTATTATTAGTATAATATTTAGATGTATTATAATTTCTGCTTTTTGCACATTCAAAATTGAGTGGCATTAAAAACCAGCTTCCCATTGGAACGTCATATTGGCGGAGGATCAGCAGGTTCACTTTTACAATTCATGTCGAGAGACGTGGTTGTAAATTCCTTCAACTGAAGATGAGCTGTAACTTGAAATCCGGACGTTGAAAACAACTAACTATGAATAGGAACTATCTTTTTATAAAGATTTAACAACATACTCACTCCACCATTTATCATTTCTATAAGTAATGTTTTGTGCATTTTAAATCAAAAGTTATGCATTTTTATTACAAGTATTTTGAACTGTTCAAAACTGTATATATACATAATGTAAATAATTCAGATGATATTTTTTTATTAAAGGAAATTGAAGAAGCATGTAAAAGAATCAAACGAGAGATTGATAACTTGGGACCTGAAGTGGGTGAACTGAAATGTATCCCACTTTACTCTACACTCCCACCTAACCTGCAACAAAGAATTTTTGAGCCAGCACCCCCTAACAAGCCTAATGGGGCTATTGGACGCAAAGTTGTTGTTTCTACCAATATTGCTGAAACATCCCTCACCATTGATGGAGTTGTATTTGTGATAGACCCTGGTTTTGCAAAACAGAAAGTTTATAACCCTAGAATCAGGGTTGAATCTCTGCTGGTTTCACCAATCAGCAAAGCATCTGCACAGCAACGTGCTGGTCGAGCTGGTCGTACGAGACCTGGAAAATGTTTCAGGTAAATGAAAACATTTACGGACTTAAAAACGAAAAAATAATACTAATGATAATAAATTATTTTAGACTTTATACTGAGAAAGCATATAAAAATGAAATGCAGGATAACACTTATCCAGAAATCTTGAGGTCTAATTTAGGATCAGTTGTGCTTCAACTTAAAAAACTTGGGATTGATGACTTGGTCCACTTTGATTTTATGGATCCCCCTGGTATGTGCCTTTTCTCTATTTCTGTTACTTGCCTAATTTGTAATATCAAATTATTACATAATTTGATAATTATAAATATAAGGCAAATTTTCAACATCAAAATTTTAGTCTAAATTAATCTAATCCTCGCTCTATTGCTGGCAGTAATGAATGCTTTTTATTTGTAAGCGTTTAGAAAAATAATGACAAGAACTAAAGGAATTTAGTAAATAAGAAACACGAAAAAAAAGAAATAATAAATTTTGTATTGTTGGGTTGAGTAGTAACTTTACTATTTTATTGTGATGCTTCAAAGCAGTTTATTTCTGGAAATTTAAGTATATATAAATGAAAACCATTAAATAAATAAATAAAAATTGGCAGCCATATGAAATGCTGGTTTTACGATTTTTTAAATTTATTATAAACTTTTCAGAAATAAAATAGTAAAGTTATTATTTTACTCACCTTCAAGAATGTCTTAAAAATAATTATGAAATAAAAATATCAATAGAGGGGGGGAAGGATGAAAACAAAAGTGAAAATAATATATAAATTTTATGTAAAATTTGAAAACTGTCATTTCATATTAGCAGACAATAATTATGTTAGTTTAAATTTTATTAATAATCCTAGCTCCTGAGACGTTAATGAGAGCGTTGGAACTTCTTAACTACTTGGCAGCCCTGGATGATGATGGGAACCTTACACATTTGGGTGCAGTAATGGCTGAATTCCCTTTGGATCCACAACTGGCCAAATTGCTCATAACCAGTTGCCAATTGAACTGCTCCAATGAAATACTGTCAATTACAGCAATGCTATCAGGTATAAATAATGCTGGAATCAGCATGACTATGTTGTTCTGACAACATAGTTGAAATTTTTCTTCATTGTCTATTTTAATTGTTCTTCTGGTTTCACTATATTAAAAAAATCAGGTGAAATGAATACAAGCCACTAGATTGTGGCTTTACAGAATCTTGCTCCAACAAATCATTCTTACTTAAAACTTGGCTCAATTAGTAATTTTTGTTTTATGTAGCTTTTAAAAAATACAATTTAGGAATTTTTTATCAGTTCTTTTAGTAAATGTTTTTACTTGTTTAATAAATATATGGGCAACAAATAAATATATTCCGGAAAATTTACGCTATGTTACAAGTCTTGCATTACCCTTATTGCCATGTCAGTTTTATTAACGCAAGGGTGTTAAACCACATTGAACATTTCATAATGTGAAGTTAAAATAGGTTATTCTTACTTCGAAAATTCCATTTTAATGGTAAATCAGTTATGTCAAGATAAGAAAAATTTGTAATTTTATTTTTTATATGCTTTATGGCTTTATTTCCAAGGCTTTATGAACAATCATATATTTTAAACGGAGGGGAGAGTATAAAATTCTAGGGATAGCAGTGGGAATTAAACCCATGATTGCTGGGTCTACAAGCCAGGAGTCCATTACGCTAACCACTTGACTACTGGGGCCCCTGTTCAATTAACTTAAATTAAAAAAAAATAAAGAATAAGTTTAAAAAAGTTCAGTTTTTGTTTATAGAAAGTTAAAATAGATTATTCTCACTTGTAACATTGTTTTATTAGCAAACTATTGAGATAGGAAAATTTGAGTTATTTTATAAATAAAAAAAGCTATAAGTAAAAAGTCATATAAATATTTGCAATTCATGTTTATTTTCTGATAAAAAATTTCTTATAATAGACATATACTCACTCATAAATGGTAGCATTAAAAATTAAAATATGAGCCAGGGTTGAGCAGGATTCTAAGTAGGTTAGGTTGTGTAGGTTCAATTGGGAAAACTAAATGTGCGGCATGGTGGTATTCCCACTCGCCTGTCCACTGTGTTTAGTCCCTCAGTGCTTTGTGAGGCCAAATGAAGCGAAGAAAGCAGCCGACGATGCAAAAATGAGATTTGCTCATATTGATGGTGACCACCTTACTCTGCTCAACGTGTACCACGCCTTTAAACAAAGTATGTGTTTTTCTCTTTCTCCATTCTTTTCCAATATCTTCAATTGAATTTGTGTTTGCGTTCAGATACTGAGGATCCACAATGGTGCTATGACAACTTTGTTAACTATAGGTCCCTCAAAAGTGGGGATAATGTGAGGCAACAACTTGCAAGAATCATGGACAGATTTGGTCTGAAGAGAACATCTACTGAATTCAATTCCAAGGATTACTATGTCAACATTAGGAAATCTTTAGTAACTGGCTTTTTTATGCAGGTCAGTATTTTTCATTTTTATGTGGTATTTAGTGACCACAATCATTTTTCATTTATATTCATCACCAGGTTTAGTATTCTTATTTCTATATTTTCTTATCATTATTTTATATAGATATATTTGCTCTTCTGCTAATTTTGCAATTTACACAATTATAGTTAATTCACAACATAAGAAGTTAAACTTGTATGATTCTGGATGAAGTGATAATTACTGTTTTCAACAGGTTGCACATTTAGAAAAAACAGGACACTACTTGACAATCAAAGACAATCAAGTTGTGCAATTGCATCCTTCAACTTGCCTTGATCATAAACCAGATTGGGTTGTTTACAATGAATTTGTACTCACTACCAAAAATTATATTCGAACAGTCACAGATGTAAAACGTGAGATCTGAAATTTTTTTATATTTTAAGAGGAAATTCTATGAATTGATAATTATGATAATTTTACAGCTGAATGGCTTTTGAAGTTGGCGCCCCAGTATTATGACCTCCAGAATTTCCCACAGTGTGAGGCCAAGAGACAGCTAGAAGCACTGCAGAAGAGACTGGATTCCAGGCAGTACCAAGAGGAATTTTAAAGAACTGACAGTTTGGAAAACAGGATTTATTTTTATTTCTTAAGGACTTAGATACCTGAATCTTTCCTCAGCTTTAACGTTAGTTCACCTGTGTGAGGTATAATGTGCGGGATAAATGACAAACCTAAAAATTAATTTTTAATTTATAAGTATACAATTATATTTCAATTTGTTTGTAAAATGTTTTACAACTTTGATTTTTGTTATCATTCACCCAGGCACAGTAAGCTATTAAATGGTGTATAGTCGTTTGTTTCTCATAATAATTCATCTATTTAATGTAATGTTTATTGGAAATTGTAACATAGAAATATATATATTGACATGTACATGAAATAGTGGTTAAAACAATGATATTTATTTTAAATCATTCCAATACCAATTTTACACAAGGCCAGTCCCAATGTGAACAATTCCTTTCAACAAATGTTGTATCAAATAAATGATTTATTCATTACATTTGGTTTTATCTTCTAATGATGATTGTTAACCTCTGCAAATACAATACATCTAATACAGTTTTCTGACATCATTGTTCTTATTCTTTAACAATAGAAACTGAAGTGAAGTTTGTTTTCTTATGCTACTCTTTGATGATTAATCCGGAAATAACGATGCTGTGTATTGCGACCTTTCTGACATGCTGTGAACAAAATGTTACTCTTAAGTTGGTTAAAGCGAAAAAAATATTGCATACATGGAGTGGACATTAAGACAAATTTAAAATTAATAGCCATAAATCGGGAAAATATAGAACTCAAAAAGAGAATTGAATTAAAATTGAAGAGTTTTAAATAAATCTTCTGGTCTCAATTATTTTTTGGTATAATTTTCAAAAACAGCAATTTGATTTTATATCCGAGGCAAAATAAGTACTTTCAATAAAGATCTTATGTATCCTCTAAAATACCATATCAATATGGACTGTTTGGCCAAATTTGAAAGAACATAATAAAATTTCTAGGATGAATTAAATGATCAAAACATTTTTTAAATTACATTTCTATATTGAAAAGTTAAAAAAAAAAAAATATATATATATATAAAGAAATTTAACACGTTCCTGTGTATATTGTTGATGATGGATATCAATGGACTGGTCAATTCAAAACGATTGTTTGAATTTAATGAAAATATAAACTCCTCAGTAGGTCATTTTGGTAAATCGAAAAAATGCTGCATTTTGATACACTCGGTATTTCAAAATATTTTTCGTAACAAGGGAGAGAGTATACTATAAATTGAAATGGATCTGCTTTTGCTTTTAATAATTAGAACTTTTTCTTTGCAATGTTCCTCTAAACTTCCATGTTTTGTTTGCTTCCTTGCAGTCTAAAGTTTCTTTTATTTTTCTCTAGTTTGTTCAGTGAAGTGTGTTTCTCTAGCACTGGAAAATCATTTAGACAAAGGACACCAGAACACATTGAAACAAAAAGAGCTTCTTACAATTTTTTAATAATGCATAACAATGTTCACTTACGGTTTATCTATTTCTACTTTTTCATTATTTTTATTATGTACAATCATTTAATATTATATGTAAATATATGTAACATTTAAGTAAGATTGTTTAAAAATTCATATTAACCCTTAATCCATTTATGTTTTAGTGGTCAATTGACCAAGTTACTTCTTTGTAATAATTATTCTTTTTATGTAAGGTCTTGGTTGAGATAAAAAAAGTCAGGGTCACGAGCGGGATTTGAACCCACACCTTTGGCTAAATATGGCTAAAAACGAGGTGAGGGGAGGCAGATGCCCCCGAAATCGATCTCAAATAGAGTTGTACAAGCAGACTGTCTTAGTTTAACACATCCATACTTTTATTAAATTTTTAATACTTTTTCATCATGGTAATTGATATACAGGGAATAAAGAAGACAAAGGATGACTTGGGATTGTATTAAATCTGGGGTTTCTTATAGATTGTGTTGGAGTTTGTGTACTGTCTACCAGTTTATGCACTCCTGTGGCTAAATTGGCAATAGATTCCCATATTTTCTGGGTGATAGAATTTTTTGAGTAAGGGTCTTGAAAAGATTGAAGGGCGCTATAAGTCATAAAAAAAATGCAATTATTGTCAATTGTTTTTAATCCTTCTAATGCCCTTCTGATTGCCATCAGCTCAGCACACTGTATATGCTAAAGTGTGGTTGTTGTAGAATGAGTGGGCTTGGTTGTTTAGTGTGTAGGCGCATCTTGCCATCACAGGGGGCACTCCTGCCTTTACCTGGGGCACTACTACCCGCACTACAAGTTGGTTGTGCTTCTATTTTTTTCATTGGTATACTCATTAGGTTCCCACGAGAAGTAGGGATCTAAAAGTTCGCAGGTTTATGTAGTTCATATCCAACTAAAGCATTACTCAGTATTTGTAAATCTCACCAACCTAGGCAACTGTTGGGAACACCAAGGCCCATTTTTTTTTTTTTTCCAGCAACCACCAAGGGTCATGATTGTCCCAATGACTATCTCCTTGCGGATGCCTGACCCAAACGTGCAGGACACGGGATATATTCTAGTATATTTACTCCTTTTATTTATTTATCCACTTATTTATTTATTTTCCCCTCCTTCTTCCTTTTAATATATTTTATTACCCAAAAAAGAGGACAAACGAGACAAACTGAGAAGCTCATATTTTGTTGATTTGAGAAAATTAAACCAATTACATATACTATCATGGTTATTGCCTAGTATTTCTTGGATGCTTATAGGCAAGACAACAGTCTACTGGTTGTACGTAATGTTTATGACATAAGTATATATCTGATTGTGATGATCTGATTGCACTCCACATATTGGAGGTGCCTCTTGCATCAAATGACCCTTAGTCCTATGGCTCGTAGGAATTCATATCCAACTGGAGCATTACTCGGTATTTGTAATTCCGGCAAATGACCCTACAGTGTCCAATACTCAACCGTGCCTTTCATCTTTCCTTCAACTATTCCTGAACGAAGTAGTTCATATATCTACAGAGTCCAGACCTGTTTCCATTGACCCTTAACTTGACTTTACCCTTGTAAACTGCAGTCATATCACCCTTTGGGACGTTCCTGATTTGAAGGCCTGTAATGGCTGCTTCTTTTACAGCTTAGTCTGCCAAATGGTTTCCCTTAATATTTACTTGCCCGGGAACCCACAGTCCCAGTCGACATAAACGCTCCTTCCCTGCAGTTGGAGGCCCAGTGACGCCAGGACCTCCTGCACGTTGGGATCATCTGAATAGGGGTGTCCCAAGGCATGTAAGGCAGAGTTTGCGTATTGCTAGTATCTCATTAATTATAGGCTAATTTTTTGATAGGCATTAATGCAAGACAGTAGGCCCATTAATGATTAACCCCCGTTTACAGCCCATGAGGTGGGTAGACTCTCGGAAAAATTGATTGTTAAAAGTTACTTTTTAACACCCGAAATAAAAACACTGGATCAAGATATGATACTGGGGTTTATCAAACAACTCCAGTTAATTTTATTTTGATGAGGCAGTTTTTCAGGCGTCCTCAAAAAATCATAAGGTTTGAACGAAGTTAACTTCGAAAAGATTTTTCAGTTTTTTTACTTTTTGTTGGAAAAATTGATAATTTATTACTTACATTTGTTGTTGTAATTTTAATAAACTGTAAAGGTTTAAACGAAATAGATGAAAATTGATTTGTAATGTTGAAGACCGATCGAGTTAGCAGTGAACTGTGTATTTTCTCCGAGTAAACGTGTCCTGCCCATTTCTCTGTGCGGATCCCAGTGTCGACCATTTAACCCGTACTGGGTCTGAATCGGGGAAAAAAGTACTAAATATTAATCTGGTAAGTATTGTGCATATTATTCTTTCGTTTTTAATTTAACAATTAAACAATTACAATAATAAAGCAGCATCGCATGATATTTTGGTATTTTTTTACTTGTGATTTAGTACGAACGTTTGCTTAGTCGTTCACCACGTGGCTATAGGCTTTATGTAACCCTACTTATTCATATTATTAATCAATTGTTTTATATTATTATTACTTATTGTGTCTTGTTTCTGTACCTTTCTAAAAAAAAAGTTATATATTTGATTTTAGACCTTCCTCCCCAGTTAATTTTTTTGCATCAAGTGATTGAATAAATTAACGTTTATATTTTGATAATGTATTAGCAGAGTTCCCGAGGAAAAAGTCAGACAATTTATTTCTTGGAAAAGAAAAGTACGTATCAGTATTTGAACCGCCGCATTATTGTATTTCAGTTTTGGTTTCCAATTTTTAGCCAATAGAATTTTTCCGGCCGAAGTGGTCGTGTAAAAAAGATAGATCACAATGAACATTACTCCGAAATACTGTTACGCCTTTCTGCTCGTATTTTAAAATTTCTCCTGAAGTGTCCGGCATTGGAAATGATTGTTGCTTAAAAACTAATTATTGGTCGCAATTCCATAAACTTGGAAAATAGGACAAAAATGTACAAATATAACATTTCTGTTAAAATTTTAATTTTTTTTTAAATTTCCACAAGTGCTTAGAAGATAACACATTCAACAATAAAAACTCATAAATAGATCACATACGTCCGAATTTACTGAAAATAAACTTTCTTACATTTTGCTCCTTTGCGAATCAAATATAGGTTTTCACTAGCTGAAAAAATTTTTAACTTAAATTCAAGATGTTGATTCAATGGCGAATATTCCCTCACAGGCCAATTTTTCTCAGTTTGATTTATTTGCTGTTCCTGTACCATGTATGTTTTGTAGATTTATCGACTAACTTATGCAGGTAATGTTCTCTTGGTTGTTATGGGTGACTACAACCATAATAAATAATAATACAACTTTGCATGCCCCAAACCCAACTTATTATGGTTATGTATAATTACATTGGATCTGAGAATTTGATGCTAATTTTATGAAAGAAAGAGCCAGTACAATGGAATGATTGGTGTGTGTGCATGTGGGCAATTTCAAAGAGATTTTAAATACCAAGCAAGTGTTTTTTTATGGCGTAACGTTTACCTTCAAAACACCTTCTGGATAGAACTTGCAAGTTTAATCTTCAATGAGCACATTGGTGATTTTCAAACGATTGCTAACCTCAGTTTTACATTCAACCAGCTTTCTAAAATGATATTGACATGTGCATTTTGTAAACATTTACATTTTTGCTGCAAATAACTTCATCGTTTATTACAAAATTGTGAAATATTCAGCATAATTAATTATGACCCTAAAATCAACCGAGGTTTCAAGAGATGCGAAAGTTTTTATTAGCCGTTGTTAATAATTAATTAATTATTGGTCCAATCCACAATTCTATGGATGTGCAACAATATTGGAAATATTAAAATTTACATCAATATAAATCATCATATAGGATATAAGAATGCAATAAAATGATCCTAGTTCGGTAATGTACAAAAACATGTAATAAAGAAATTATTGACTATAATTAATTAAGGTTTTTAATTAATAACCCCACCTTATGAGTTTGAGATAGGGAGTTGATGTCCGAGTGGATCGAGGTCACGATAGCTCAAGTGGTAGAGCAGCGACGTATCTAGCCGAAGATCGTGGGTTCGAATCCCGCTTGTGCCATTAACCTTTTTTTCATCTCAACTAAAAACCTTAATTAATTGTAATGATTTAATTGGTCAAGTGGACCACGAAATTAGGGAATTATTGACTATGATTTACATTTTGATAATTTTAATGATAAATTGGTATAGAATTTGGAAAGCCAATTAGAAATAATTAATACATTTGAGAGAAAAAAAGACCACAATTTCATAAAATATACCCTTAATTCAAACCTTGATCAGATTAAAAACATTTTTTGGCGATGTTGTTACTGTTTAAAGCTATCAGACAAACTTGATCTAATTATAGGTTGTTTTATTTATATTAATTATATAAATTTATTACAATATAAATCCCTGCCTGTGCACATGCATTCATTTTGTATGTGTGGTAAAAAGGTTAAGTTGGTGATCATTTCTTTTTGCCTATTATCACTGTTCAAAATGTTGTTAACCATAAGGATAGACAGACCAAGTGTATATTGTGTAGCATTTGATAATAAAGTAAAACCATTTTGTTGCAGTGAAATATGGTTAATAGACGGGTACCGTCTGTTCACTCTAAAACCTATGTAACTCCACGGCGACCTTATGAGAAAGCTCGCCTTGAACAAGAGTTAAGAATTATAGGGGATTATGGACTGAGGAACAAGCGTGAGGTGTGGAGAGTGAAATACACTTTGGCGAAAATCCGAAAAGCTGCTCGAGAACTTCTCACTCTTGATGAGAAAGATCCTAAGAGGCTTTTTGAAGGTCAATTTGCATCCAAAGAAATATTTTTGTTTTTAATTTTATGAGCTATGTTGTAGGGATTTTTTGCCAGAAAAGAATTATGTTTTGTCACCTTTTTATACCTTTTCATAGGTCTGAAAACTACGTAATACACCATTCTTATTTTGTTTTTATAGGATCACGGGTCCCCCCCCCCCAAAAAAAAAAAAATGGAGAAAGATTGTAAATTTTTAGAATCAGTGTGAAACAATACATTTCTTATAAGATTGTGAGTGGTTGAGTGTTACAATGCAAGGTTATGTTAATGTTATAATGCATTAATGTTTTTAGAATGACTACCTTTAGAGTGCATTTTGGAAATCCTATAAAAATATTGTATTTCGTAATTATCAGGCAATTTGGAAAATTAGCAAAATGTTCTGAAACATAGTGTACAAAGATAAAAAGGTGACGAACCACAGTTATTTTATTTTTTCTGGATGAAAAATTCTACCCAGCACCATTCCATTGCTTGTATTGGAAGACAAGCCATCCACTAGGATAACAGCAAAAATTTTGGTTTATACTTGTAGGCAATGCTTTGTTGAGGAGGTTGGTTCGTATTGGCGTCTTGGATGAAAGCAGGATGAAGCTCGATTATGTTCTTGGTCTCAAGATTGAAGATTTCTTGGAGCGTCGGCTTCAAACTCAGGTAAATATTGGGTTGTCCGGAAAATAATGCAGGATTTTGGTATTAAACAAAAAAAAAGAAACTAGTTACTTTAAAGCAATGTTCTTTAATCAAAATAATTTCCCANATCCTGTAAACGTAAACAGAATATTTTATATAGATTTTTTTTAATGAAAACTTAAAATCCTGCATTATTTTCCGGACAACCCAATACAATTAAAATATTTGTTTACATTTATTGTTTACATGTAATAATAAAATTTAAAGGAGTTTTTATCATACCTAGCTGTTTTACTTTTAAATAGAAGTAAAACCTATTCCAAAATATTTAAAAATCTTCATTTAATATTAAACTTTTTCTATTTTAATTTCCATGTAAATGAGGTGCGGCAATGAGTGCTCTGAAGTCAGAATGATGCTAGCTGGCGTCCCACAAGGGAGTTTTTTAGTTTAAATTCAATATTCTTGGACCCATTCTGTTCATCATTTATATTGTTGAACTACCAAAACATGCCAGTGCCTTCGCCTATTCAGACAATACCATAATTTTGTCCTTTAACTCAAATCCTGTCTAAGTTATTTCCATCCTACAAGAAGAATACTTTGAACTTATCGAAGATGTGCAAAATGTGGTGACAAGACTGAAAGAAAAACATATACTCAGTGTACTTTTATATTGGGGGGGGGGGCTTGTCCTTCACTTTTCTTATACTACAAAATAAGGGTCAACAACTTAACAGAAGATATTTGCACAACTTCAAAGGCTTCTTTTAGACTTTACCATGACCAATTTGGACATGCAGAGTGAAACTGAGGGATTTTGCCATTTCCATATCAGCGCATCCAATCCTTCTAATTTTCCTCAGAAAAATTATCAAAGCTTTACTAACCTCACTGTCCACGACTTAACATTTCTTTTGTCGACTACATTAACCATTGTGGCCACTTAGTTTTAACAGTAAAAAACAAACAACTGCAACTCTTTAAATTCAATATCTCCTTTTATTTATTGTAATACATGTAAAAAAAGTTTAAATATAAGCGGGAAGGTTGAGTAATAGATGGAAAAGTTAAAATGGAAATTTTTTAACTGTTTTTGGAATAAGTTGAAATAAAATTAAAGGAAAAAAATAACATTTATTCGCTGGTCTATTATAAATAAACCTAATTATTAATTATAAATAATTATTATTTNATTATTAATATATTTATATATATTATTTATATATTTTAAATTATTTTATTTATACTTATTTGCTACATAGTGATAGTTTAGTAATAAGTTTCACTAACTCACTGGTTCTACTTTTCTTATAATGGGTTAACCGAAAGCCAAAAACAAATTATCTAGGAAAAATGCCAATTAGGTTCTGTCCTGCAAATTTTCAACGGAAGAGCAGTGGCAGAACATACTAAATGATGAGAGATAAGAGGCAATCGCTTAATAAATATTTTGATGAATTATTGGTTTATTTTCTTTACTGGTTACTATTCATCCATACACATTGGTGATGACACTTTTTCTCTTTATTTAAATGCATGCACTTTTGGGCTAATTCAGATAACCAACCCCTCTTGTTTAAGTAATTCGAATTATGAATCGAAATTTGCCAGAAATGTAATTTTAATAGAGAGAGAAAAACGTTACCTCCAATGTGTATGGATGAATAGAGACCAGTAGAGTTCTTCAATAAAGCATCACCATTGTCCAAGTTTAAATATTTTGTTTAATGTTGGAAAGATTAAGATTACATGTTATAGCTAAACAGCTAGGATTTTAATCGCCACAGGTTGTCCTTTGTTTGCAATAATTGTATCATATTATCTGAGGCGAAAAGTAATACCTGACATTGCTACACTAACTTTTAGTATGAATTTTAGTGTATCTGATCATGGTTACATATCATTTTTGAAAATAATGTTGATTGTTAAAACACAGACATATTCTTTTTATATATAAAAACAAAATTTTATGGTCATAAAAGATTATCATAACTTGGTAATATTGTTATCTTATTATCGTTAATGGAACACTGGACATTTTAAGTGAAAACAAGTGAAGAGGGAAAGTGGGCAGATTAGTGTCATGTAAATTCATTCATGATTAGATTCATGTAAATAAATAAAAAATATTTTTTTGATTTTTACGAAAGTTTATTTTTGGTTGTCTCCTTCTGTGGAATATAGTGGGTAATATGATTTAAAAAAAATTATTCATTTATTTTTCAAATAAAAATTACGATGCAGTAGATCCTTGGTTTACATTGTTTTGTTATTATACCGCTGAGTTTTACAGCATAACTTTTGTGTCACGCTGTTTTGATATTACGTTACTGAGTTGCTCCTTTGGATCTGTAGTGGCAATTGACTGACCTTGTTAACTGTTGTTTCTCGTTTGGAAACCCCGTCTGCTTATTTCATTTTAGTGTATTTTTTAGTGTACGAATTTCTTTCATAGCAGTCTGTCCTGCTCGTGACACTAATTTTTCTTCTCAACCTTTGCAAAAAATTATAAAAACTGGTAACTATAAAAATAAACAACCAAAATACAAATTGCGGGGTAATAAACTGTAATGCCCAAAATCGCAATTTAAATAATAAAGATAGCTCCCTTGAAAAAATGATAAAGAAAAAGAAGTGTTATTGTGTTTTGTTTCTTATTATTGTTATGTAGAATTAGTTTATTTATCATATTTGAATGGACGAATAAGAGGATAAGGATGAGCCTAACTCATGCTGAGACTGTTGCTAGTCTGACTCCATTATTATTATTGTGTAGAGATAGTGACCGTTAATGGATAGTTATTCAGATATCGTGAGATGCGGTCGGGTGTGATGTAGGTTTCAGAAAAACATTTTCTTTATCGTGCCAACGTTTCGATCTTTTATTGAGATCATCTTCAGGGCCTGGGATTTACAAACAATGTTTACATTTAACAATTACATTTAGGATGTGGAAAAGTGAATTTATACAATGCAAAATATATTTTATATTCAAACAAAGTATTTCTACTCACTCAAAGTGTTTGTCTTCTGTGTAATTGTACCATCCTTGCGTGTCGTGTTGAGAGTGCCAGTGAGATTTTGCTGTTTTATGTTTATATATGTTTGGTGTTGAAGGGGTGGGGAAGGAAGTCGGTATATAAAAGACAATTTTGTGTAAGGCGTCGGCTTCTTTGAAGTGAAAAAAGCCGACAAAGGGGGACAATGTGTTGGTAATAGTTCGGCCAGATTGTCCTTTCAGGATTATATAGAAAGGGGATAAATAGGAAAAGGAAAGCTAAATTGTTGGAAAATTAGACTATGTGAAAAGTATTTGATGTGTGGAATGTAATGTAATGATATATGTATGCTATCTATATTGTATTTGGTTAATGATATTGGCGTAGATGCGACTGAGTTTACATGTATCTGTTCTGTAATTGATGCTGAGTTTATCTCTGTTGATATAAACCATTTCTAAAAAATTACGTTTATATTTGTTTTGTTCTGTACGTAATATTTTTGGATTTTTGAAGTCAAAATTGTGTTGGTGTTCAAAGTGGTGGGTAGCGAATGCTGTAGGATTTTGCTTGGGTTTTTTACAATCATAGATATGTTGCTTTACTCTCTTGTCCAGATATTGAGATGTAAGACCGATGTAAGTTGCCGGACAGTTTAAACAGGTGATCTTGTAGATTAGGTCAGATTTATTTGTTATTGGTGTGGGATCTTTAACTTTGGAAAAAAGTGTTTGGATTGTTTTATAATTTTTGAAAGCTATTTTGAAGTTATCGGACGAGAGAAATGTGTTTAATTTGTGTGATAGGCCTTGAATAAATGGTATGGAAATGTATGCTTGTTTGTTTGTATTTGATATACTTAATGTAGTATTATTAGTAATAGTGGAATGTGTTAGTGTTGTGTTGTAGTTGTTGATTATTCTGTTAATTATGTGCTTAGGGTAGAGATTGTTATGGAGGATCTGTTTGTATATCTTTATGTTCTTGTGGTGAAATGATTCATGGCTCAGGGTAATCATTCTGTGAAGTAACCCTTTGGCCGTGTTTATTATTGTATGAAGAGTATGGTGAGATTTAAAGTTGAGGTAGCGATCTGTGTTTCTTGGTTTTTGGTACCAATCTGTGATTAATGTGCCATCTGGTTGTTTTATTACAAGTGTATCTAAAAATGGTATTGTTTTGTTGTTTTCGATGTCATGTGTAAATTGTAGGCGTGGGTGAAAGCTATTGAATGTATCTAATGTAGTTTGAATTTGATCTGTGGGAACTGCTGTGGAATAATTATTATTATTAGCCATACAAGCCTACAGGAAATATTCAAATTATGGAACAAAAATTCAGAATTCTAATAAAAAATAAAATAAATTTTATATGTAATTTAAAATGGGATTTTTGCATACATTTGGCCTTCCAAATTAAGAATTTTAAAAGGATAAATTAAAGCTTGGATGGTAATAGGATAAATTCGTTTACGAGTGAATGTTTGGAGTCCGAGCTTTATAGCACTCAGAAGGGATATAGCTAAACTAAGATAGGTTTGGGATGTTAGGAAATGACCTTAGCCGTTAAAACACCCTTAAAAAATTAATAATAATAACAATAAAACAAAATATTTTATTCCATGTAAAACATGACAAGTATGAGAGAGGAGATTTGTAGGAACCATGAAGGAGGCATTACAATTGTACATATTTTATATTTCTTTTTATCTCCTTTTTTTTTCTTTAATTTCAATATTTAATCACAAATTCTCTCGATGAGAAAGCAAATTCAATTGTTACTAACAAACTTTCTACCTATTTTAAGGTCATCATCAGTGCAAAATAATCTTAAATATGTTTACAAAAATGTTAAATTTCCTTTGTAGGCCGATTCAGTTTCAACATTGCCAAGGACTGTAATGTTGTATTTAAAGTTATAATTCTATATTTTTATTTTTATAGTTACCTTGATCTATTGAAAGTACCCTGCAGGTGGTCATTAATGTTGAGATTAATTAATTTAAAAAGAATTGCCCTCTGGCAGGGTGAAAATTGAAATTCCAATTAATTAATATGCATGTATTTACTGAAACAATGCTCTCATTTTATATGTTAGAACATTTAGTGTCAGTTCGTCTTTGGTAAAAAAATGTTGTTTTTCAGGTTTTTAAACTTGGTTTGGCCAAATCAATACATCATGCCAGAGTCCTTATCAGACAGAGACATATTAGGTAATAAGATTCATTTTATTATATTTATTTAAAATTTTAATTTATGATGGATTGGTTTGATAATAGTGTTTTTAAAATATGCAATCAATTAAAACCAAATTAATGATACACTCTCAAACTTATACTACCCTCAACTTGTTTTAATGAGGCTTGGGAATTTTTTAAACAATTTGTAAATATCACGAGTAATCATTATTATTTATTAAATTCACTAATTTCGTGGTCCGCTTGACCAATTAATATATTACAATTAATTAAGGTTTTTAGTTGAGATAAAAAAAGTCAATGGCACGAGCGGGATTCGAACCCACGATCTTCGGCTAGATATGCGCTGCTCTACCACTTGAGCTATCGTGACCTCGATCCACTCAGACACTAACTTCCCATCTCAACCCCACTTTTTTTTCCGAATCCTGCTCGTGCCATTGACTTTTTTATCTCAACTAAAAACCTTAATTAATTGTAATTATTACTTATTGCTTAAACTTGATGAATATAATAAAGTTAATTTAGTTAATTGTTAGATCCATCCACTATTTTCAGTTTCATTATAATAGTAATTTATCAATTTTAAAGTAGGTATTTTAAAAGATTTACCTTTTAAAATGTTGTTTATTGATAGATATTTCATAAAGGCCAATGAGGTCAATGTTTTACCATTACCTTATGCCTGAGAGAATTTTTGTTAAGTCGAATTATGGACTAATCCACAAACAGGATCATCGGATTTTGAAATTCTATGGTATAATTAAGCTATTTGGAAAACCTACCTTGGTTAGAATATATTATTTTCCCAATATTATATAAAAATTTGCAAACTAATAACTTAAGGTAATTTTTTAAGTGCGTCCTTTTACTAAAGTTAGTAAAAAGTTAAATTTATCCATTTTGTAAATTTCAGGGTGCGTAAACAAGTGGTAAATATACCTAGCTTTATTGTCCGCTTGGACTCACAGAAGCATATTGACTTCTCTCTGAAGTCTTCATTTGGCGGTGGTCGCCCAGGACGTGTTAAGAGGAAGAATGCTCGCAAAGGAACCACAGCAGCAGCAGCCGATGAAGATGAAGATTAAATCTTGTTTTATTTCCAATAAATAAATCAGATTAAATTGTTCTAGTTTTTCATTGCTCATAATTATTTGATTTTTTTTTATATACATACGCACTTCCCTTTTCAAAATTAAACATTTCATCTGCAAGTCAGTGGAATTGCTGTGGCACAATAATGAATCCTAATGACGGTAAAAGCAATCCGATAGAATCTGATCAACTTTTAATTTGCGTGTTCTTTATTTTAAATGATATATTTTGGTAATTTTTTTCTTAATACATTATTCAGGATTCCTTGAGAGCCGTGGCACTTTTGTTGTTCCCTACAACAGGTTATGGGCCCAGGGACAGTGAAGGAGCTTGTGTGAAACCTTTCTTTCACAAGAGGTGTTGAGTGTAAAGTTCGATTTGGTTAATTTATCAGGACATGCTCTGAAGTTTATTTTTGTTCATTCTCAAACATGGCGTCTATGTAAGCCATACTGCTAAATTAGAAACCGTTTGATGGAAAGAACTTTCTGGGAATTCAGAATAAAGACACGACTGTATTGGGAAAATTGTCTCCAGGCACTGGAAATAAAGGAAGAAAGGATGACTACAGAAAACAGTGGGAAGCTGATATTATCTTATATATAACAGTGGGATATTATCGTTCAATCTTTAGCTGACAATGTGCTCGGTTCTTTGAGATCAAAAACAACTACAAAGGAAATGAAGCTCTAAAAACTACATACATGAATGTTGGCTTAACTGTGAAGGTGGAATTGTAATGACAGCTCATGGAAATGAAATTTGATGCGAAGAAAAATACGTCGGTAAATTTCTTCGAAACATTCCTCAAGAAACTATAGCAATTATATGCTGGATCAAAGCTTGACCAAGATAGATAATTTCGGCTTTATAGTTCAGCTATATTATTTTCATAGAAAAAGATAGATTATTTGGCATAGTTATCATAATACATGTTTCTAATTTTATTAAGTCAATTTGGTTAAAATATCATTTGGCTTAATGGAAGACCTGTGCCAGATTATAGTATTTGTCATGCAACTCCTTTAAGAAAAGCTTTTGTTGTTTTGGATATTTCCTAAGAAAAATGTCATTAGTCAAAATTGTATTGCTTTTATAAAATTTGAGGTAATAATTACTTACATCCGTGGGCAAGGGAAATTGAAAACAACCAATTTTTAAAAGAAAACTGTGAAAATAAATTAATTGTGCTTCTGCTGCCAAGCATCCACTGACTGTTTGATTCTCCCAATCCATATTATAAAATTTAGCACAGGCCCCAAGGTAGCAAATTGACGGTGGGTTCCTAACTAAAATTGAACTTTAAAATTCTTACAATTCCTTGCAATTCGTTACAATAATTACCTGAGAACGTTTTGTCAATAGTATATCCGTTAAAGGCCACAGACAGTTTCATCCCCATACTTTTCCTTAACAGCTTAAGATTCCCACAGACTATAATTAATAAAAAACAAGAAAATAAAAGAAAACGTCTTTTTGTCTTTTAAAGGGACAATTTAATGTTACCGGTCAGTTTGAAAAACCAGACATTGGAACTGGTTTGACAGCATTTCCACTCATCGTTTAATGCCTTGCAGGTGTTGGTTATGATATTGTCATGATTGTAATTGAAATGAAATGCATTGCTGAAAGCAGCAGATATTAAATTTGTTTGTTTATTAAAAACAAAACAATAGTTCATGTATGTTTGTTAATTGTTTATAATTACCTAGTCCCGAGAACAGCAATTGTTAATAGAATGCAAAAATTCCACATGTTTGCAGTAATAGTGGTGAGCAGCAACTAAATTCAGTTGTTGGTCATTAGATCAAAACAGTTTTAATAGTTATGTACTTAACCAAGATAATACTAAAACTACTATAAATTTAACAATCTTATTTTTTGGGACTAATTTAGACATTTGTCCATAAGGAATACTGGTTTGAATGTATTATTCTCAGTTCGACTGTATGACTAAGAGATTAAAAAGCTAAAAGGTTATCCAGAGAAAAATATAGCAAAAAAGATAAAAAAATTATTATTTCAGCTTTGATTAAGGTTGTTTTGCTTTTATTGCTATTTTATTTATGGTACTTTTTTTTTTTTTTTTGCCAGTGTTTAAAAAAAAACCTTTTTGTAAGTAGTTGTAGGGCCGCTGGAACCTTTACCTTATAGTGATGAGTGCTGTGTCAATGCCTAAACTGTTGCGGCCACCAATGCCCCTTCTCTATTAATTTTGTTAGTGTCAATCATTACTTTTCCCTGTGGGATATAACCCTAAAATATGTAGAGTGGTCTTATATGGGAAAAGTATTAGGTTAATAATTAATTGCTCTAGTTTAAGCGCTTCTTGCTTGCAATCTTCTTTTATTTCTTAGTGTTCACCTACATTGTGAGGATGGATCAGTGTCTTGCTGGGCGGTCTTGTGGGTGGAATATTCTCTTGGATCTTCTCAAATAAACTTCCAATGGAACTAAGTTTCTGGACTCAGGCAGCTGATCTCACGTTCAATCCAGCTTCTTTACTAATCTTAACTCTCACCTCTCAACTATCAACTCTTTTCAGCTCTGCTCTACTCTGTTCTGCTCAACTCTATTCTACTCTTCTCCAGGTCTGTGAGGTCACTAGCCTGTAGTTTGGTTATGCTGATGATTGGATAGTGACAAAATTAAACTTGTCAGATTGATCAGGAACGACCAAACTACAGCCGTCACTACTAGTTACTGACTTAAAGTACTGTAGTAGTGTAAGTGTACTACAAAGTATAGTAGTGTAGGTACTGTCTAGCTCAGAGAAATTTTGCCCTGGACTAGATTTTTGCAGTATAAGGATATTAATATCAATTAGCCTATCTTCAACATAGCACAAAGTTCTAAAATTCCATCCATTCCACTAGCTTGCAGGTTTTTCAAAGTTAGGTCGAGTTACTTTACCTTAATTATAATCCCACAAGAGTCAACAGTTTGGTTAATGCTCTCTCTGCAACAGGCAGGCTCGAGAAGATTGTTTTCAATTTTAAACAGAATGCCCAGTTTAAGCGGAATTCTGAGTATGGCATACAGGCTTTCCCACGTTGACAAGAGAGCACCTAATCTCTTTATTAAATAACCCAGAGTGCTTAAATTTAGTAAAGTTTGTGATGGAAGCCTAGAACTATGGGAAAGAACTAGTGTTTTATTTCAATTATTAAATGTGTATTGTACATATAAGAGACACCGTAGTTATTTATATGAGCATAAATGTAGTGAATATACAGACATGTTGCTTTCTTTTACATACATGATTTTTTTTCTTTTGTTTATTCCTTGAGAATAAATTTTTAGTCTTGTTTTGTTTGTTTATTAAAAATTTATAGTCCGACTCTGGCACATGGTTGATAACCATTGCCGTTATGTGCTATTTTTTCTCTTTTGTTTATCTAATAAAGTACTTTTTTCATTCATCCATTCAATCCTATTGAGCACATGTGGGATGCGTTGCAGAGAAGGCTTTTCAAGTGCCATCCGCAAGCTGTTGACCTGTAACAACTGAGTGAATTGTTACGTCTTTAGAATGAAATTCCTTATGAAATCAGTGACAACCTTATTAACAGTATGTCTAACAGAGTACAGAAGTTTTACAGAAAAAGAGTACATATATACGGTATTGAATGTTTAAAAAAAATGATTGTGTCCAATAAATAAAATTGTGAAATTAAACGTTTTATTTTATTTTTCAAAATCCCTTGATTAAATTTTCCTTCAGTAAAAAACATAATAATTTTGAATAAATTTTAATGGGATTTATAATAATAATAAAATAAAAATGCCGGGAAAGAGATACTACAAAATTGGCAATATCCGTTCATTTTTTAGCAAAAAGTCTCTCGCCTTTGCTATTGTGGGGCTTGTGATTAGCTATAATAAGAATAGAATAACATAGTTTTTAAGAACAAAGCAGAAGTGCAAATTATCAATACATTTAATGTACTATTTCCTCAAATCACCACTACTATACCCATGGATATGTTATTATTATCGCAAAATTCAATAAACCTCTTCCCTTTATTCTTGATAATTTATTTTTAAACCAAAATTAACAACAATAGGAAATTCTACCAGTAAAATTTGTTAGTCTGCTATTCATATTAAAATCCAATGACAATCAAATTAGTTTTATCTGATCTATTATCTAAAAATACACTCATAGATTCAAATCCTTTACTTACATATTTCAATTAAGATGTACACCTATAATAAATTATTATTATTATACGTTAATAGAGATATTATACTTACTTGTTTAGATATATAATTTTTGCTGTTTGCTAACAAATTCCTCTTAAGATCATATATAAATGCAAGCAAAATTGTGTCACAAAGAAAACGCAAGAAATTGAAAAATTTACTATTATTTCTTTTATTTAATAATCCTACAACATTATAAGAAACAATTTTTAAACATTGTGAATTTTCTCCAGTTCATTTACATACAAAATTTTCCTTGTGACTGTTCGGTCAGCCTGACAAGAGAAACTGTCGCTGTGCAGTACCCCCTTGAAATGTTACTCCCTTGCTGGAAGTCTTGTATTGTGACTTTGTGCTTCTGAAGTCACTGATGTCACATCTTGACAAGTGTTTAATGTGTTGTTCTTTTCTTATTATCAAACATAAGCCCTTTTTTATCGTCCCGAGTAAAGGTTGTGCTTTCAATTTCTAGACAGCTCATCGTATTCCTTGACTTCATCTTAGGAGTTCTTTTAAGTAACTCCTGTCCTATCTGGGATAGAATATTTCTTTGTTTCAACATTTCTTGTGAGTAATCATGTCCTTTCTCCAGTTTGTTCCCCCACAGACACCGTTTCGTTTGAGTACTATCCACTTTTCATTATTTCCAAGGAGTGGCACTAGAAGGGGTCTATTTGTGTTAAAGTCTCCTAAAGGTTCAAATGAGACTATTTCCTTAACTTCATAACGAACTTTTTTACCAATTGTTTAAGTCATCTTGACTGTTAAATGCAGTTTCTTGAGCAAATTGTTTTTCTTGTGTTTTTCATATTACTCTATTTGCTTCATATGCGATTAGTTTCTTTAACATAGGCAATTCTTTCTTGAGAGAGTTTTTTCATTCCAAACTGCTTTAATTTCTCAACTATTTTCTGAGTGTCCTCTTCTATTACTAGTATGGTTGGGGAGACGTTAAAATAACACAAAACATAGCACACCTGCACAAATTACTTTGAAAATTTTTCAATGAAATTTATTAATAACAAAGTTCCAATAAGGAAAGTAGTCCAATAGTACTCGGTAATTTTTACTTTCAAAAGAAAAACCAAAGTGATCAGCCACACAATTACACAAGTAGACATAAATAACAGAGCCAATCTGTTCCCTGTCAGTGCTAGCAGTTAATTTCAGGGAGTGTTTGTATTATTAAAATAATTTGTTTATTTATTTTTGTGTGTGAAGGTGGGTTTTAAGTAAACAAGACTAGAATTAACATCATGAATTTATTATAATTAGTCATCTAGAAAAATAATACAAAAAGTCGATTTTATAGATCAGTATTGAGGTATCAAGTTGTTGGTTAACAATAAATAATACAGCAAATATTGAAATAAGTCGTCCAAAAAATTTAACAATTATAAATGCATGGGCCATTGTATTTAAACGAAGGTGAACACAGTGCATACAACAAGAACATTTTACAAGAGCAAGCTTACGTTCTTGTATATTGTTTATGTCGATGCTCTTAGGCTATACTATATCTTCTCAACAGTCAGACGACTGAAACACATGAAAAGCTGATTTTACACCTTTGGTAAAATCTGTATTTATGTAATTGACAAAAATTTATATCTAATCAGACTAATACATAAATGGAAGATAATAATTTAATAACAAATTATCAATAAATAAAAATAAATAATTACATTGTGGTTGCATACCTCGTAAATAATGCAAATTTCCACCAGTGCTCTTTTTTGCTATAAGAAAACATTTTTTGAAGTTCATTTATAGTAAGAGTACGAATAAAGATGACAAATGGCATATTTTACATTTTAAATTAAAAACAATTGGTTAAAATTGGGATATTGTACAATTTTTATCCTAATATTAAAAAATCTGTATCATTATAGCACACAGTGATATTTTGATAAACCACACAGATAATACCAGTGATAAATTAATCAACGTGCAATACGTGTCCACGTTCTAAATTGTCTTTGTAACAAACAATTTACATAACATCTAAATTGAACAAAAATTTTCTTTTGCCTGTACAATATTCACATTATTTTTACATATTTAGTGTTTTAAATTTTTACAAATTTTATGACTAGCTTCATGCATCACTTTGAGGGGGTAATTAAAAAATAATAATCATAATAGGAAACAAATTGCAAGTTTTGTTTAAAAAAAAATGCATTTTTTACATGTTTAGGTTTAGCTTAAATCATAAATTATCAGTCTTTCTTTGGTATCTTTTGTTGTACAGCAGGCAGAAAAACAGGAGTAAAATTTGAACACCGCATGGTGATTGAGTCATTAGAAGAAGAAAAAAAAAAGGGAAAAACCAGCTGTACCTTGAAGCAAAAATAAAGATATATATTGTCAGTCCATTTATCAGTCGTCTACTGAAAAACAATTAAAAATTCTTATGGAGGAGGAAATGCAGGAGTGAACACATTGAAAAGGACTGCAAATATGGTGCAGGCTGTGTATACACCGAGAGCAACCCACCAGATCAATTGTTCATGCAGCCTCTGCTCAAAGTTCTTTAGAACAAGGAGCCCAATTGTCAAACCAGCCAATGCCCCTGTCAGGTGGGCAACATACGAAACAGGTGGTCCCACTGTCTCTGTGTATCGGTCGTATACTGCAAAACCTACATCAGCACTTGCTGCAACAAAGTTAACCCTTTATAAAATACGTAGATATTTTTTAAACACTAGTTCGTATTTTACTTTCAAATAAATCCATCTGTTTTAGTATATATTAATTTTTATGCAAATAAGTTTGAGGCACTAGTGGGACTCAAACCCACTAGATCCAGATTGATACATTGCTGCTCTAGTATTGTTTAAGATAATGAATTAAAAAATAAAATAAAATAAATAAATCTAAAATTTTCACATTCAATTAGAATTGATGTTAAAAGCATACATACCAACAGTGAATATGCCGACAAGACGTACAATACCAAACTCCATATTGTTGTAATTCTGAAAGCATAACAGCATTTAAAACTTTAATATTAATTAGTAAATAAAGTGTACATACTAGAAGAACATTGGCTAAATGAGCTGCCAAAAGAGCGTAAACTCCTCCAGAGGCACCGACAAGACAGACATCCGTGTCAAATACTGACGTTCCCAAAGATCCTGTTAAGAATAAATAAAAAAATGAAATTTTTGTTTTAGTAAATTACAATGTTTTATTACGTACCAGCGAGAACACCGGCCATGTACACTGTGCCAATCCTTAATGAGCCGTGTACCATTTCCAGAGGCAATCCAACCACGACCTGAACCAGAAGATTAAAGAGAAGGTGAAGCCATCTGCAACAAAACTTCAATCAATGTTTTGTTTATATCTTATATCTTATTAATATTAAATTTATTTGTAACCAATAATTAAAATTATGTATTATATTTTATTTGTTGGAAAAAAAGTGTCAACTTATATGTGACATGTGACATTTTAATATTTTAAATGTGACATGAATTTTTAGTTGATTTTAAACGAACCGAGTTTAAGGAGGAAATTCTGTAGTTCTTGGGAATAAACAATCAACACTTAATTACTATTAGAGTTACCAAAAATTGGACATATGATGGTAATCACTAATTTAACAATATCAAGATGTGAAAGTTGGTGTAAAAAATTCTCACCCCGCGTGTAGAACCATATAAAAGAAGAACCTCCATATTTCAAGTCTTTTGTCTGGCCGATAGATGAAAACGCTGTCAATTGGCACTGGTCCGGCTGGGTTCATCTCTCCTGTCGCCACCGTATAGTATGTGAAGAATCCAAGCTGAAAATGAAGTCTATAAGCTCAAGAAAACTAGAAAAATAAATCTGTTGATTAACCTTAATTATTGAATAAATAATTTTGAATATTTCACTTTTTTTTGTAGGTGTAAATAAATGCGCATGAGTAGACAGATAGTTGAGTGATCAACTGCTGTTCAGTTTAATGATACTACACAATCTTTGATCGTACATAGATGTAAAACTATGTACAACTTTCTCATCCTAGGGAATGTAATCGGCCCTCTCAACTATAAGTGGCTTAATCGTGTGACTACATTCATTCATTTTAGACCTGCGTATCGATCCAGCAAGATCAGGTTTTTTGCGTACAATATCACCTCGCATTCACTGGGTGCAGACAGATGCAAATTGTGAATCTCTACATGCGAAATGGTTTGAGCATTCCTTGTCGACAACTGAAGTATTTGTTTGAATATTTTACTTGTGATATATAAAATAGAATACAATTTTATTTGCTTTGAAATTTACTTAATTGTTTTATAAAATTGGAGTTGCACATTGCAATTTAATAGACTCAAAGACAAAAACCAGACACTGGATGTATTTTACTACTTATTTAAAACTGTGTATTTTTATTGTTATATTAATTACAACATACTTATTTTAATGTAAACCAAATTAATGTAATCAGAAATTCATGAGTTTTAATTTAAAAAAAAGTCTACAATGAAATGATTACAATTGAAGTTACTCCAGTAAATTCCAGTATTTCATTATGGAATACTTAACTGTGAAAATTGTAACCAAGTAATGGCTCTCTCTCTCTTTCTCTCTGGAAAATTGATACAAAAATTGAAACAGACTAATAGTACTACTTGCTATCTTAAGGCAGAGACTAGTTACCCAAAAACGCTATTTGCTCAAACACTGAAGTTGACTCTAATTCAAACTTAGAGATCTAGAAACTTGCAGACATACACAATCAAAAATTTAAAGGCTTCTGCCAGATAGTTCAATGCAACAATTCACATTGTAAACTTGTTCAAATTTCAAATAACAAGTACGTAAATCAATCAATATTCTTCTTGAATACTCAATTCTCCTTTGGTTACTTTCCTGAATCCTGGAAAGTGTCTCTAAAGATAATGTTACATAATCCTTGAAAAGACGCTAGAGCTGCAAAACTATAGACCAATCAAGATAGTGAGTGCAATGAGCAAAGAATATGAAAAAAATTGTTGACATATGTATAAGAAGTTTTAAGGACTTCAATAACAGATGTATGCCAGAGCAATTTATATTTTGCCCATTTCTATCCAACCATGCCTAATATATAGAATGATAGACACTGAAGAGGTGTTGCTTGATATAAAAAAAGGCTTGGCGCAATTTGGCATAAAATATTATTTTTAAAATAATTCCTTACAACTTTCTAACCAATTAGCTAAGAACAATAAATTTTTAAGTAAAATTCATTGGTTTGAAGTCCACCTCGGCAACATAAATTCAACTATCTATAACGCAATTTCAGGTGTACCTCAGGACTCGGTTCTTGGTCCTACCTTCTTCCTAATCTTTGTTAACAATTTAGATAATTTTGAACATTTTGATTCAGTTTAGTTTTCTCAACCGATTAAGTAAATGAATCAACAAGTTAGATAAATATATCACAATATCGCAAAGTGGAAAATAAAAATAAATTAAAATAATCCAGAGATGATCTTATTCACTAATAATCTTCCACGCTTATGCTCAAAGTTTTAACAGTGACATTGTGCTGTGGTAATCATCTGTCAGTTACCTAGGTCTTTAGCTGGATAGTAAACTACATTTTACCGCCCATGTAAACGAGTAAAATAAAACAAAAAAATACATAGTTATATTTTCTACTAATTTACCAGATAATTTAAATTCTTTTGTTATTTGCCTGTGGCTTTTTTACTTTAATTTTCCACTAATTGTTGTAAATATTAAGCATTATTTACTTGCGCGCGCGCGTGTGTGTGTGTGTGTGTGTGTGTGTGTGTGTGTGTGTGTGTGTGTGATAATCAGGTATTAGGTCACAGAAACATAGAAACTCCCAATTTCATGCCAAGCTTTTGTTTAATTTGTAAACATCTTTAGGGAATATGAAAAAAACATATATAAACCATAATCAAATTGATAGTTCACAATATTGTATATTTACAGCATACATATGGGATTACAGTACATATATGGGATCCACTTGCGAGGTCCTGTCAACTCATCGCATAAATATTTTTTCCTGTTACAATAAATATGTAATGAATGAATGAATGGATGAATGAATAATAGTATTTATTTACATGGAATACAACAAACTCAAAATATGTTACAAAATACTTTACGGCATGGACAACAGTCCGTCAGCCGGAGAATAAATATGTAATGTTCAACTATAATAAAAAATTGGGGGGGGGGCGTTGGTGGCCGCCACGGTTTAGACGTTGACATGACGCTCACTCTAAGGTAAAAGTCCCGGGTTCGAATCCAGCGGCCCTGCATTCGAACCCGACATATGTACTTATATGGGCTTTTTTAAAAACACCGGCACCCCGAGGGTTCATCAAATAACCCGTAATTGAAATACCCTCGTTTAAAATAAATAATAAAAAAATATGTTTGGTTGTAGTTCCTGGCTGCTGCTGGCTGCCTTAGTACCATCGTGCAGGCATTTCTTTTGATTTAAAATAAATAATAAAAAAATAAATAAAATTAAAAAAAAAATTAAAAAATTGAATATACTAAGCTCAATTAGGGATAAAAAAATAAATAAATAAAATGAAAAATTATTTGTGGTGGAGTAAGGTCCTGTTCGTGGAGAGTGGAGGATTCCCCTGGTGTAGATTGACAGACGAGCCTGGGCCAAGATGGACAATTCGGACTCGTTCGTGTTACCCGTTAATCGCTTTTGGAACTGGACTAGTGATGTAGCAAAAGCCTCTCTAGACCAAACAAACATTGGTGGCGTCCCTCTTTTTAGAATTTAAAAATTATGAATTTATAGGATACTCTGACCACCGCAAGTCTGACTTTTGGAACCGTCCTCCTCGCTTTCGTTTTCATTAAACGTGTCTCTAGACAACCATAAATCTCTCAAATGTAATGATATAAATTCACTCAGTCCAGGTTACGCGCATCGTTATTATGAGGGAGGGAATAATTCTTTTTACAGCCCTATTTCTGGTTCAGACCCCGTCCGGTCTAACAACTATCGACCGGCTATAAATTTTTAAGGTTTCCTTTAATTATCCGAAGTCGCTGGCCTCCACCCGAAATTACTGCCCCTGAATACTTCTTTTTAGATATACCCCGACTGGCATAAGAAGAGGCATCACTCCAATTATGTAACCTTCTCGCAGTAATAATTATTACCGATCAATCACCTTTGTAGGTCTTGACGGCGAAAAAGCCGACATGGACGACTGAATTGCTGAGAGAAATTCCTCAAGAAGATTTGTAATGTCTTTCAAGCAACGGTGTATTTTCGCTAAAACTAGCTTAGAACTTGCTAAGACTGGGAAAAATTCAGTAGAAGATAATGTACACAACAGTAGGTCTGCGATTCGGCCGATGAACCTGTGTTTATGCTGGGTGTGTTTGTATTAAATTGAGAATTTTGTGTTTGTATTTGTGTGTAATAAACACATTTATTATTATTACACATTTATTAACGCCTCCTACGGTTCACGTTCAAAGAGTAGAGAAGGTACAAACAAGTGTACAAAGTTGATTTTTCACTGTCTGCAAGTGTCGATTGTGATTAATTGCACTTTTAAAGCCTTTGCTTTATTAATGTTAACATAAAAATAAATAATTATATCGGGTTGTCAAAGTTTAAAGATTTTTTAAAAAATTGATAAAATCACGAATTTTATATACACTGATGGACAAAATAAACACACCACCAATACATTTTTATTTAAAAAATAGATTTGGTTTTAATAGACATTTAAAAAGAAAATGTTTATTACGTAAGTCTAAAAAAAAATTATTGAGTAAAGAACAAATAAATAAATATATAAATAAATATATAAATAAATATATAAATAAATAAAAATATATTTAAAAATAAACTTTTTTAAACCCTTTAATACCGTGTATTCCACGTTTTCTGACACGAAAAAGCTTTTATATTTCTTGGAAAATATTTCTGATAAAATCCTGAGCAATTCTTTCCCAACAAGCACAGCCGACGAATGTGCTCGATTGGGTTCAAATCTGGACTTCGAGCTGGCCACACCAAGCACTATTCCAACCTCATTCAGGTAGTCAACGGCAATACGTACTCTATGGGGCCTGGCAGTATCCTGCATTAGTAAGAATCTCTCACCAATGTGCGGGGGGCACTATATGTTCTTCGAATGTCTTGTCCTTTGTGAAGTTAAAGATATTCCTCGCACAACATCCAATTCGGTGCGAGCTTCCACCTGAGGAACCATACAGCATGGTTATGCTGCTATGAAAAAGGCGTACCTTTCTCCTAAGGGTCTCTATACGAAATCACGCTAATCTTTAGATTTGAGGCCAACGCTCAACTCATCTAATGAGAAACTCATCCCCAAAGGGCTTGAACCAGGAGACCACTACGGTACCAACTCATTTGAAAACCAACGGGATTTGGAGCGAGGAGAAGACCTATAAGTTCCTCGCCTCGTTGAATAGTTGTTCTCTGAAAGTGTTGGCTCCCACCTCGAAGTTATTACTTGGCACAACAGAAAAGCGTGGGTGCAGGGACTGGGGAATCGGTAGGCACAGCCCCCATCGTATCGAATCCACGAAAAGCCCGATCCATCGACCCAAATCACAAACCGCTGTGAACACACCACCTTGCGGCGCGAGCGGAAGTCCAAGATATAGATTCTGGCTGAGGCAGACGGGTTTTTGTACCAGTGAGCATGAATATTCGCAATTTAAATATTTTAAATATGTAGATATTGTATATTTGTACACTGCGCTGACCAGGATTCTCGAACCAAATTCCGATTTCATCGCACAGTCAACACAATATCCCATAATAAGCAACTTAAAAATTTCAACGTTAAAATTATCTTCCACTTTTTCACTCACGAATACTCTGGATCAAGGCATGGTCATGAAGGAAAAAGCAATTTCAGTTGTTACTGCCAAGCGTTCGACCTATTTTAAAGCCATCATCAGGCAAAACCATCTTAAATATGTCTACAGATTGACATACACTGACAAGCAAAAATTCCATCTAATTGATTTTTTTTTCATTTTCTCGATAAGAGAGAATTCTGCCCTTAATTTGTCTCAATGTTTTTATCAATAACTATTTGTTTATGCTATGTTTTAAATTGGGAATATCAATTAGAGGTAAACACACTTAATCCTTAATCCAAAACAAGAATAAAGTGTATTTCAATGTTTCCTTTTTACGGAATTTAAAATGTTTATTCAGCCTCATTTGAATTCTGAAGCAATAAACTGTTTACTTTTCATCTTTGTTTTCATGATTTCAATTTTTAAACTTAAAAATGCCACTTAGTGCTGAGGATGTTGAGCGAGGTGTGGCACTTATTGATGATGGACGTTCCATCAGGTATGCGGCTATTGCCGTAGGAATTCCCTACGAAACTGGGTCCTACCGTAGAAGGCCCAGTTCCTGGATGCCCTAGGGTACCAGAACCATAGGATGACCGTATTTTGGTTTTGAGAATTTTGCGAAACCGGCTGTTGTTCAAGCGATTCATCAGCTCCAGGAAGTTTGAGGTGTCCAAATTTCTGAACGCACTGCTCAAAGAACATTAAGTCAGTATGGACTAATGGCTTTTCGCCCCTTAAGAGGACCAGTATTGACCAAAACACACAGAGTTTCACGGCTCCCATTTGCTCGAGAACACAGCTATTGTTCTTTGGACGATTGGCCTGCTGTACTTTTTACAGATGATGGGCTTGAAAGAGCTCACTGATGGTGTGGGCGGGAAGTTCAATGGAGAGTCGCACATCGCACAAAGTTGGTTGTTGTTCCAGAAGTGACTTTGTCAGCCACTCGCTATGTGGATGAAATTGTGGAACATCTTGCGTTGCCTATGCTCGATGAAATCAGCGACAATCCTGTTCTAATGCACGATAATGCCCGTCCACATGTCGCTCGCATAAAACAAACGTACATTCAACAGCATAACATCAACAGTTCTCGTGATTTGAACCACAGCGAACATTTATGGGATAACCTCAAATGAAGAATGGGCTAACCTCCAGCACAGAGACATTTCCAAACTGGTAGAAAGTATGCCGAGGCGTCTTCGAGATGTAATCAAGGCAAGAGGAGGAAATACGCGAGACTGAAATGTTTTTTACAAATCTAAAACAAAATTTATCTGTTGTATATTTGTCTTTTTTCATTTTCCTTAGCAATTTACATTTTTTTTACGTTTTTAGACAAAGACTCAATTATTAAACTTTGATTAATATATAAAAATATATACAAATCAAGTTATATTACAAGTGGGTGGAATATTTTGCCAATGTGGAATGTTTTTGGATTGTTTTTTGATCCGACTAATTACCTAAATATGTGGAATATAACTCAGAGCCGCTTGATAAACGGAAAATATAAACGGGGCGGGGAGAGTGCTATGGCACGCTTGGGACGTCGGAGTTCAATTATTCCTCACCCCCTCACGCAATAGGGGACAGGCGTAGCTTCTTACCTAATTTTACCCCCTAAAGGCACAAGTTTCCCAAACACCATATGTGATCCTCCCCGGAACTTAATTTTCTTCCCTTTTCTGCGGCAACACATGCCGGGGAGGTGAAACAACACACCCCACATTGGGCAACAAGCGCTACTTCTGGTTAATGATTGAAAACCACATCTGGAAACGTTGGCCACAGACAGAGAAATCAATTCTGTTTATTAGCTTGCAAATAGCAACTAATAGCAGTTCATTTATTATTAATCCCGAAAATTATCTACTTATATGAAAACACTTCAGAAATGATGATAACCACAGCGCATTAGATCGACACATTTTAATTCACATATTTAAAAATTATAACCTTTAGCAAAATCTTCGGGTGTGGGTCCACCAGATACGGAAATACGGAGGAACAGAAGGGGAATGTAATTCTCTGTACATATAAGAATCGATTGTGGATGAAGCTAAATCTAACGAATATTTTCGAATTTTATAAAATAGTTAGGGATGGTTAGGGAAATAAAAAGTAAAGTAATATAAGTGAAATAAAAAGTCGGAAAACCTTACGAAGTGTTTAAAAAACAGGAAAGCTCGCTGTTCGACTTAATCGACAGGTATCACTTCTTGGCTCCGTATTAAGAGCAAGTAGGCAGGAATATACCAACCGACATGAGAATTGTGATGATGGCAGGTCTTTGGGTCTCCTGTTCAGATTTTTTAAGGAAACCGAGGTGCTCCTCTATATATATAATTAGTCGTTATGATCGATATAAGTTAAGTGTTTCGCAAGATTGCATTTATGAGTTTGCATTTATGAGTGTGAATTTGGAGTGTGAGGGGGCCGAAGGAGGAAAATTTATAAACCCCATCGAATGATTTGTTACATAGTATGTGTCAAGAAATGATCATGGAGGAATTTCGTGTACATCACCATCCTACTTTAGTGAAAGGTATGTAAATCAGAAAGAATGTTTTTATTGTGTGTGTTTAGGTTAAAAACTATATGCGTTAAGGCATCAAATAAACTAGATGTTGATAGCCTCTAGAACCTAACTAATGACCTAGATGTTGATAGCCTCTAGAACCTAATTTCGAATGGCGGGGCGGATTAGATCGAGGTCTCACCCCCAACTGACAACCACACAGTATTTGATAAATATTTTATTTATATTTTTATATTTATATAATTTTTTTACTGAAAATAAATATTATTGTGAGATGTCGGCGTGCTATCGACAGGGATGTACAACGGAGGTAGGCAGACCAAAATGATCGTTAAATATTATTGATTGTTCAAGATCCTTATTTTACAGAAGAAGAAATTTAACTTTCATTTAAAGATAAACTAAACTAAAAAAAATAATAATAAATAAATAAAAAATAAAAAAAAATCTTGGAACGAATGGCCATGGCATAGTGACGTCTGGGGTACCTACATATAATATATAGCTGATAAAAACTTAGGTACATGTTCTGAAGAGAGAAAAGTAACATTTATAAGAAAATCAGATATAGGTATCAGTTTCACATGATCGGAAGAAAGCAAGTCATATAACGTCAACAAATAATGTTTTTCTCCGGTAGTACTTGAACGAAAAGTGAACAAATTCATGTCCCCACGAGGAAATAGGTAAGGCATGGTTAAATTTAAAATTCGTTGGAACTGGGAAAGGGACCTCAACCGACCCGGGACGGTTGCCTTCTGCTATTTTCGTCCGTGTAACGTGGTTGGTTACCTTTCCATGTTTGGGAACAAGTTTCAGAAAACCCTCCATTTTACCCAGTGTGTGTTGGGCCAAAGTGAGATTTACCAAGTGAAACGGATTGAAAATTTATTTTTAATTGTTCCTCAACATTTGAGTTTTTTACTCTAATATATCGTACACACAAAAAAAGGAATAATGATTACTTCGTGAAGTCTAAAAATTAGTTTCAGGATGAGGTTTGTTGTAAAAGCAATAATGATCAAATTGTTTATATTTAACATTTATTTTACGTAAAAACGTAAAACGATCTCAATACCCGTTTGCCTATCGACCAAGTTTTTGTTGGATAAGATTCTACGTCCGTTTTGAAGGCCCTTAGGGTGGGTGAATACGGCTTCAGCGGCACGCTTTGACAATGGGGTTATCAAATTACAGGACGCGAGACTTCCTTGCCTCGTGCTCCGTGTCAACTGCCATAAATTTTATTTATGTACTGCTCATGTTGAAAAATAAAACGTTATGGTATGAAAACAAATTCCATTCAGCTCGAAACGCAATTGATGAAAAGCGGAAAACTCCTAGTTGCCTGAAAAGCGATAATCAGCGTGTGGACGTACATTACATGGACGCATATACTAAAACGGTTGATTAATTTTTCTTGCCACATGCAGTTTTCTCAAAAGAAAATCTCCAACTAGTCAAGAGCTGACATTTCCTTGAGGATAGACATTGGGTCTTGCGTACTCTGTCGACTTACGCAGTTCTACTACAAAATATAATTTTATTTTTCGCATTAACTTGCTTCTAGATTATTTAAACTCATACTTGAAACTTTACCGACCTTTAATGAGAACTTTAACCTATTGTTTATAATTTATTTCTTGTACTGACATTTGTTTTTCATAATAATAATAACCAGTAGTCATAAATTCAGAAATGGTCAGAATACGCAAAAGATTAGAATAAACAAACGAAGTTTGATTTTAATGAGATAGAAATATCTGTTTTCTAACAAAGTGGTTATCAGATTATTGGTATTGTACATTAGAGAGAGTAAAAAAGACCGTCTACCTCGACCAGCGTGATGAAAAGAATGAACAATGGCGGGGGGCAGCAAGTGTAGTGATCAGCGTAGTACTTCTTGTCCCTTTCTTCCGTCAGGAATTCATCCGCTATTATCTGGACCATCCTGTAAAAGCATTAGATCAAAAGCTGGTATAGTTTCGTAAAATGTATTAATAAACAACAACCCAAGGAATTGTAGTCTGGGTAAAACAGTAAGGGTGAGGTGAGGAGTCCTGACTGTCACGATCCGACACATCGATGGTAAAAGGAAATTGTAAACGGTGTGATAATGGATAGACGCGATACGTCGCGGGGCCGGATCGGTATGGTGAACTTCAATTAGAAGGTCAACGGAATTGTCGCGACTGTAGCTTCTTGTGCCAAGCTAGTTATTGCTTGTTTAATTTTACCTATTTTTAGGCCTTTTTTGAAAGGTCAAAAAAAATGAGGGGAACAAAAACGGATAAAAGAATTTATTGCTTGTTAAACAGGTTGAAGAAGTTACTTTTGGCCATGACCGTTTGCTAGTAGAGCTAAGTGGATGAAATTGTGGAACATCATGCGTTGCCTATGCTCGATGAAATCAGCGACAATCCTATTCTAATGCACTATAATGCCCGTCCACATGTCGCTCGCATAGTACAAACGTACCTTTCAACAGCATAACATCAGGGTCTTAGCCTTGACCAGTCCGTTCTCCAGACTTGAACCCCATCGAACATTTATGGGATAACATAAAAAAAAATTATGGGATGATAACCTCAAAAGACGAATAAGAGCACGTCCATCACTTTCTGATACACTCCACGATCTTGAAAGGACTCTTCGTGAAGAATGGGCTAACTTGCAGCACATTTCCAGACTGGTAGAAAGTAGACTACAAAAATCACCTTATAGAATGGATACTACCACTACATACTATAAATCCAAACCGGATTAAAAGCGGTGAGTACTAGCACACCAAATTTCGGTGTGGTTTTCTGCTTAGTACAAAGTGCTTGTGCAACACAAGCGTTGTTTGACCTAGTAATATGGATAGAGTGGGCAGAACGATGTCTAGGTTTTTCTCTCCCTCTTTTCCACCATCAATTGTAATTATATTTTTATATATATCTTAAATACCCTTCTGTGGCATAGGAACCCACACTAACAATGAGTACCTCAGACAGAAGTACAAAAAGAAAATGAAAGAACAATGGAATTCACCACACAAACAATACTAGAATCTCCTGACAAATTTCGGAAGGAAAGAAGTAAGAAAATGTATCAAAGGAAGTAGAAAAAACTGCGAATCCTCACAGGTTTCTTAACAGGACACTGCAAGCTAAATGGACATTTTAAGAAGATTGTAATAATCCAAGACGGCACATGCTGATTCTGCCAAGAGGCAGAAGAGACATCGACACACCTATTAACAAACTGTGGTGCTACACTTGCCAGCAGGAAGAAGTGCTTTGGGATGTACAATGTGACTGAACCACTGAAACCGGGCCTACTAATCAAGTTCCTTGATGAAATAGGACTCACCGGTGTGCTATAAGCGCAGAACGAGGGCTACAATAGCTCTTAAAGGGCGCAGTTTATTACACCCCGACCAATACATCTACATCTACATATCTTAAATAAATTTTTCAATGACAGGACAAGAAAATACTTATATACCTTTCCGTTTTACTATAAAAGTGGTGATTAGTTTGACAAGCCTTCCGGCATCATCTACGGCCTTATCACCGTGAAAATTGGCGTCTTGGCCCAGTTACAGGTTTTACAATTAGAATGCAGCTTGATGGAGAAATAAGACTGATGTTGAGAGTTGGTTGGATAAGGTTTCGGCTATAGACCTGAGGAATGATCGCACATTTATTCGACCGAGCTATTCCAATTTTTCTGTTTGTACATAACGAAATGTTGAACATTCTAGGAATATATGCTTGACTTATTTTCTTTCAATCACGGTACGATGCTAGTTTAGCTATAAATCGAAAAAAAAAAGAAATGGATTTATGGGAATAAGTATTGAAACGTTTGGAAACAATAATGCCACACCAAAACAAATAAAGAAAATATGGATAAATTTATAAGTATTAATCCATTATTCTTCGGAGGAATAAAATAATGTTATTCATGTTTATACCTTTTAAAAAGAGGAGGTTCCTTGAGGATGATGTGGAAATCGTTCTCAGACGACACTTCCCTGTCCAAATGGTGGACGGCGCACTTGAAGCTACGCCGTCTCTTTCCGCTCATCTAAAAAGAAAAGAAACAACTTCAATATATCTAAAAGCTTCCAAAGGGCCTGAATTTTAATATTAATTATAAGGAAGAAAGATTTCTGACGAAAAGAAAGAACAGAACGAATACTTTATTTTTGGTCGAATTACATGGATTCTCCTCTTGCCCACTTATTTGCAACACAGGAGTTATGGACGGTCTAGGGGATGGCAGCAAAATTTTGTACACTAGGTGTATGTGTATTGTGAACGGTTTTTATCTGCTCCCATCTGGTTGTTAGCATAATCTCAACGTTTAATTAAGATTACCGAATATATAAAGTACAAAGGAGAAAAAGTTGTAAGTTGTGCATACGATTCGTGGCACGGTTCGAAATTTTCGTCGATTCAAAATATTTGTTATAGATAAAATAATCACTGACAGGCAAAAAATTCCACCCAATTGATTTTTTTTTCATTTTCTCGATAAAAGAAAATTCTGCACTTAATTTATCCCATTGTTTTTTTTTTTCAATTAAAGGTAAACACACTCTTAATCCTTAACCCAAAACAACGATAAAGGATTTTTCAATGCTTACTTCTTACGGAATTTAAAATATTTATTCAGTTGCATGTGAATTCTGAAGCAATAAACTGTTTAGTTTTCATCTTTGTTTTCTTAAATTAAATTTTTAAACTTAAAAATGCCACTTAGTGCTGAGGATGTTGCGCGTGGTATGGCACTTATTGTTTATGGACGTTCAATCAGGTATGCTGCTATTGCCATCGTAGTTCCCTACGAAACTCCGCGAGACGCCGCCGTTGGACGTTTTCTAGAAAGAGTGTCCTACCATAGAAAGCCCGGTTGTGGTTGCCCTAGAGTAACAGAACCATAGGAACCGTTTTTTTACTTTGAGAATTTTGCGAAACCGGCACTTTACTGTTGTTCAAGCAATTCATCACCTCCTGAAAGTTCGAGGTGTCCAAATTTCTGAACGCACTGCTCACGATTAAATCAGTATGGACTGAAGATTTTCACCCCGTAAGAGGACTAGGATTGACCAGAACACACGGAGTTCCATGGCTCACATTTGCTCGAGAACACAGCCATTGTTCTTTGGACGAATGGTCTGCTGTACTTTTTACTGATGAGTGTAGATTTGCTCTACGATCTCCACATGGGCGTGAAAGAGTGTGGAGAAAGCGAAATGAAAGGTACGAAGCTCGTAATTTTTCCCAGCGCCATCCTTTTCAACGTAGCTCAGTGATGGCGTGGGCGGGCATTTCAATGGAATGTCGCACAGAGTTGGTTGTTGTTCGTGGCGGGTTTTTGACGGCCACTCGCTATGTGGATGAAATTGTGGAATATCATGCGTTGCCTATGCTCGATGAAATCATCGACAATCCTATTCTAATGCACGATAATGCCCGTCCACATGTCGCTCCATAGTACAAACGTACCTTCAACAGCATAACATCAGGGTCTTAGCCTTGACCAGCCCGTTCTCCAAACTTGAACCCCATCGAACAGTTATGGGATAACCTCAAAAGACGAATAAAAGCACGTCCATCACTTTCTGATACACTCCACGATCTTGAAAGGACTCTTCGTGAGAATGGGCTCACCTGCAGCAAAGCGACATTCCCAGACTGGTAGAAAGTTTTCCGAGGCGTCTTCGAGATGTAATTAAGGCAAAAGGAGGAAACATGCGACAATGTAATGTTAATTAAAAATCTAATTAAAACAAATTTTATCAGTCCGTTTTTTAAAATTTTCCTTAGCAATTTACATTTTTTTTTTACTTTTTTAGACAAAGATTCAATTATTTTACGTTAAAAAACGTGAAACTTTGATTAATATATAAAAATATATACAAATCAAGTTAAATTGCAAGTGGGTGAAATTTTTTGCCTGTCAGTGTATGATTTGTACAGTACGATAATTAAATAATTCTTCTAGTAATTATTCATTTTGCACAGTGTTTTTTTCGTAGGTGATACACATGCAAAGCGCATAAATAGTGTATCCTTTTCTTCAAGAGCAAAGATGAAGGCGGGTTCGAAATTTTAGAAAATAAACAAGACGTTTTTATCGTTATGTGTAAAAACTAATAATTTATTTTTAAGTTTAATATTTTATAACACCGTTGTGAATTGTTTCATTCTCTAATCGAGCATTTTTCACTTCGATTAGGAGAAAGGGTGTTTTCCCGCGTGAACAGAATACGCCCTTTCATTTCTTAGAAAATTAGGTCGACCCGTTTTTGTGGGATTTGTGTAAATAACGAGTACAAAACAATAGAAGCGAGTAGCGAAAGTATCCTGAGAAAGTCCTCTTTCATTCCAAAATGCATGCGATATTGTACTGGTTGGCTGTTTGTACTGCTTTATAAAAAGTGTAGAGCTGACATTATTATTGTACGGAACTTAATTTGTCAACAATATATTTGAGGTACAGAGTAAATACAAAAAGAAAGACGTCTAACGTATGCTTTATCTTTGGCTTTTCTCTGTAGTCTAACAGATAAATCAATTACAAATTGTAATTGTTAAGTTTAACGACCCCAGTCTGTTCCATGTCATGACACGTGGTAGTATGAGAACTACACGTGGAATTTATTTACCTACACGAGAATCCCTCTTTAGGTCGACATTTCACCGGATTCATATCGCCGTCAGAGACTTAAAAAAATGAATAATTATTTTCTTTACGATAAAAAAGGAAATTAAGTAACAACAGCAGAGTGTAAAGCAATGATGTTATCCAACTTTTGAAAGAGGTCTCTTTGATTTTGAAACCTTCGCGTTCAGCGGGCGGATGCAGATAATTGAAGGAACAACAGGAAATAAGCTGAAATACTCTAGGAGGATAATTACAGACGAGTTGACTCTTTTACTCAAACGTTAAGCCACGTCAACTTGCCGAGGTGCACTGGGAGAAGCGTAGACGAGTTTAGACATCAATTGATAACGTTGCTCATCTTAATTACTTTCTTATGAATCATTCAGTCATGTCTACAAGAATCAAAAAAATCTTCTGCTCTTCTGCATATATTTTCAACAACATATATAAGATTTAAAAAACTGGGTTACTCTAACACAACGTGTGTATAACTCTAATTGAAAACATCTCAATCGTGATGTTCATTTTTGAGGCAATGTTAAACTATTTACAGCAAAACCGTTCGCGACGTTCTCAGAGAAAAACAAGACAGATCAGCGGAAGTAACAGTGTAAAATCATAGGACACATACATTTATTTTCAATATCCGGCCGGTGTTCACGATTTTTTTCGTATTGCAGGAATCGCGTGTATGGTGTCCCAGAGAAAGTGCGACAAATGACTTTGGGTGTTAGTACCCTATTTGCAGCAACATCCAACCTATACTCTCTATACCTATCTTCATTCCCAGACGAGTTATCATTTTTTGTTAGTTATTCCAGGAAACGTTACCTTACTAAGAGAAAAACACAAATATCTATCATCAGGGCTACCACAGTTTTGGATTCCAGCATTTAATTTCCTTTATACTAGTTTCGTCTGAAATAATTTTCAATTAAGAACCTTAATAAATACTCAAATTTGAAAAATACCACAAAGTTTGGTTTTTAAGAAATAATGTATAATTAGGTATGCTCTTATGTTTAATCCTAGAGATTGTCAAACTTCACGAAAAGTTCATTACTTATTAAGCTTTTAAACGGTATAAGAATAGCCAAAACCCACGCTGATTTTAGTAGACTAGTTACGTAACAATTGTTGAAAAATGTACTTGAGATCAACAATCATTGCCCAGGTGTTGATGATAAATTGAACTGTTTGGTTTTCAAGTATTACAATTTTCTCCACAATAAATTATTGAAGGATTTACAAGCAACAGGCATTATAAATGGTTTTCAACATAATGACCACGATGTCTGACACTCACATCCGTCTTTTCCTCATGGGCACCTCGTTACTCGAGTGTATACATTGGTTCTAAGTTTATCGGCACCTCGTTACTGGAGTGTATACATTGGTTCTAAGTTTATCAGATGCTTCGGGGATCCATACATCGTCAGCACTGTTCAGTGTTCACTCAACAAGTACGTGCCTGTTTTCTGGAGGAGTCATCCCGTGGCCACCTCTGTCCCCTGATTTTTAACGTCAAGGATTTCTACGTTTGGGGACCAGGAGGCATATGTATAGATTCGGAATGGGAGAAACAAGCCTGTGCAGATATTGCCAAGAAGAAGAAGAAACAGCGGAACACGTCCTCTGTTGGTGCGAAGGCCTTTGTAGGCTGAGATTCCTAATCCTGGGAGAGGAAAAGCCAGGGCTTGAAGGATACGCACACGGGGGTACCCTTGAAAAAGCTTTTGGGTCTGGTAATAAGCCTCAAGCTTATCGAGCTCTATATTTCCAAAAAAAAAAAAAAAAATAGAGAATCACAATACACCAATACTGGTCGCGGTGTACAGGTAGATTTGTTTGAGGATTCCTTAACGAAAATAAGTACAGTTCAGTTATAAATCCAGTGGTGTTTTAATCCAAAACTAGTGTCACCCTGATGATAAATGTGTTTTTCTCAAGTAAAATAAAGTTTCCAAGGAAAAAATAATTATTCAGAAATCGTGATATGCGATCTGGTGTGATGGAGGTTTCAGAAAAACATTTTCTTTATCATGCCAACTTTCGATCTTTACTGAGATCATCTTCAGGGCTCAGTGTTTGTCTTCTGTGTAATTGTGCCATTCTTGCGTGTCGTGTTGAGAGTGCCCCACGAACGGTCACTAATCACCACACACTAATAAAAAATCATAACTCGTCTGGGACTGAAGATAGTTATAGAGGCTATACATTGGATGTTGCTGCAAATAGGGTATACTATCACTCAAAAATTGTTTTCGCACTTTCTCTGGGACTCCCTGTATATTAAACGTCTGTCAATGAAAAACGACGGCTGTAAGTCGGCAGGGACTGACTAGTCATAGGTGTCTCCTGGCGAAGATCCAGAACGTCTAGACGTTCGATGTGGCGCGGGCGCGTCGTCCCGA